CTTCACATCCTCCTCCTACATTTTTTTTTTTTTTTGAACAAAGTGTTAAGAGGTCATTTGACAAAAACGCCTGAGAATACCATAAGGTTGAAACCAAGGTAGTGGATTCAACTGACCTCCTGATTTTTAAAGTGTATATATATATATATATATATATATATATATATATATATATATATATATATATATATATATATATATATATATATATATATCACTATCACTTGACTTAAAATATTTTTACCCTTCCTTGCCTTTAAAGGAGTGCCCTTTGCCGTGCTGATGTTGCTACATGCTTTACTTCTTGCCTATCTCACACTGCGAATTTTTTCTAAGCTCTATAGTAAACATTAAATCTGTTACAAAAAAAGAACTAAACAAAATGAACACAAAACAATCAGCTTTAAAAAAGGACTCGTAACTGGAAAAACCGAATGAAAAAAGAATGTTAACAACAAATACTTTTCACACCAAACCCAGTTCTTCGGAATCAGAATCAACGTTGAGTTTAAGCAAGCGAATGAGCCAATTGGAGTAAAGTGCCATGCAGATTTAAATTTTTCCCACTTGTGACGAATGCAGCTATCGATTTTTTTGCATGCTAGCATGCTAGTTAACATTCGTGTCAGTCAGCTGTTGGCTCTCATGCTGGCCAATAGAATCTTCCTGCCTATTTGTGGCAGCCAGCTATAGGCTCTCACTCTAGGCAGTACAAAATGGCCACAAACTACATGAAAAGTGCCGTAGAAGCATGAAAAAAATCGATTATTTCCACTATCGATGGGAGTTGGGAAATGCAAAGTTGGTCTTGGCCTTCTCGCTAACTTGGAGTATGTGCATATAAATTTTGGTGCAAATCTGTCAAAAAATTGCGGCCATGCATTCATTACACACACACATCCTTTTTTTTTTATATATATATATATATATATATATATATATATATATATATATATATATATATATGCTGATTGATGTTACCTTAAGCATCTTAACTCCAGAGTTTTGCAGATGGACTCATCCATTCACTCATCAGGGTTTATCAGAAATTAAGTGCTTATACTTTTGATTTTACTTTTTTTTATATGCACTTATCATTGGTGCATATTTTATACATCTTTTTCCTAGTGTATGTGTGAGTTTTTGTGCATGTCCACGCCTGCGTAGATGTGTATACATGTAGAATATTGTGATTATTTGTCCTTTTTTGTTACTTTTTTTTTTTTTTTTTTTTTTCACTTTACACTCACTCCTTTTTTCTCTTTTCTTTCAATTGTTATCATTTGGATTGTGTTTTTTTTTTTTTCTAGACAGGCTCTCGTTTTAAATTTTTGAGAGTCCTAGTCTTTTCTTGTGTTAGGAAAATTTTATTTCATTTTTTTACATGAATAATCAATTTTAATAGTTAAATGAATAATATATTTCTTTAGATGTGAACATGAAATAAGCTTTGGATTAAAGGTGTGTGTGTGTGTATATATATATATATATATATATATATTTTATGACATTTTTTAAGTTTATATGTTATTTTTATAAACAGAGTATTTACTTAAATATTTGTCTGTATAAAAAGAACGTATAAACAAAAAATGTCATAAAAAATTGTCGGACTTTGTCCATTTCATAATATATATGTGTGTGTGTGTGCTGTTAATAATAAATATACATGAGTGTGAAGATTGCTGTGTGCATGAAACTCAAGAGTTGGTTGTAACAAATGGTCAGGATAAAGAAATGTATATTTATTATTAATAGTATAAATTTTAGTTCTGTTATTTTACATCGAGTTCTTTAATTATTATTCTTTAGATCAAAGTAGGGGAAACTTGCAGAAACTTTAAAAATTCATATCTATGAACACAAAAAGGATCTTACACACAACAATTTATCAAATGTATTAGTTATACATAGAAATAAATTCAACCATATATTTTATCTAAAGAATGGCACATTTAGAAAGAGAATTCTCAAGAGTGTTATTATCAAATGTTATCAAAATATAAATCTACAACCCAGATTTTTTTAAATATCTTCATTCCTGAAAGAATTACTTTTCCCAAGCCAACATACATGACTAAAAATGTTAAAAAAATTAAAAGAAAATTGTTAAATTCATAATCCCTTGTTATTTAAAATATATAACAAAATAAAAATTACATCACTTAGCATCTTCCATAATTGACCTAGACTTTTCAGTCTAATAAATATTTATGAGTTTCTAAAATTTAAAAATTTTGAAAAACTAATAATAGTATAAATACTTGTTGCAAAATAAAATTCTTATATTTGCCTTGATAAAGCCCATCAGAGGATGAAATGTACATTATTTACATTATTCGGACTATTGTCCTCATCTTTGTTGCCATATTTATCACAACGTTTCAGCCGTTGTACGCTCCGGCCTTCTTTAGGTGGTTGGAATTTCAAACTGAACCCTTTATTTCACTCACTGGGGTAGACTGTTGTAGTTCCACATACCATGTTTGATGGATGTCAGTTATTAGTTATCTCCTGCTAATTTCCCTCTGAAAGTTCTCCACTGCCTTAACCAGGTATTGAACTCACGCTCTTTGGGTCCTGTCACTGGATCTAACCAATGCCTTTATCCACTGTGCCATATGTCCATGAGAACGTGGAACTAGAACAGTCTATCCCAGTGAGCGTAATAAAGGGTTCAGTTTGAAATTCCAACCACCTAAAGAAGGCCGGAGCGTACAACGGCTGAAAAGTTGTAATAAATATGGCGACAAAGATGAGGACAATAGTCCAAATAATGTACATAATGTACATAATACCTTATCTCAGAAATATAGACAGACTCTGAAGGATGAAATGTACTGGCTAAGATAAGTTTTCCTTTTGTCTTATATATATATATATATATATATAAGATTTTTTTTGATTTTTATCTAGCTCCCACTCCACATTTCACCTCAAGGTTCTAGAGTCCTTGTATATCAGATCACGTGAGCCTTCCCTTTATAAACAGAGGGAATGCTTACTGGGTCTAAATGTTATTGGACTGTAGTTTCTTGAAATTCATTTTTTTTTTTCCCCATTCCATTCGTTAATTTAATGTACACGCGTTTATATTTTTTATTCCCAGAAAAATAAACTTGATAAGTCCTGGGACGAAACCGGTTGTTTTTTTTTTTAGCTTTGTAAAAAAATACCTTATAAATTTTTGCCTTTTCCTAGCTATTATTAAATTCTGTACCACAAAAAAACTTATATAATGGACTCTCCTGTCATTTTTTCGACATATGAGTGTCTTTCAGTTCAGTTTCTTTGTTTATATTTTGAAGACTTGTTTAGAGTGGTGAAGGCTTGTGTAGAACTAGCCACGCTTTTTGAAGAGCCGAATACAGAGAACTGGTGCACTGTGTACCACAAAGTCCCCAAATGATATCGCTCCAGATTTTGCATTCAGAGTTGTCCTTCTCCTAGACTAGTTGCCATCCAAGGCTATAGAACACTGTCTGTCCTGCTATTTACTCATAGCTGGGGGAAAAATAGGATTCATACCTTTCCCATGGGTATTAGCACATAAGTGAATGTAATGGATTCAACTGTAATTTGAACTCAGCTCTCTGATTCCTCAATCCAAGCCACTATCCATTACTCCATGATGTCTCTCTCTCTCTCTCTCTCTCTCTATATATATATATATATATATATATATATATATATATATATATATATATATATATATATATATATATATATTTTGAACAATAAAAAATATTAAAAAATTAAAATCTTCAGACACACTGCGTTGGAGATTAATATTCTTTTGTTTTTTTTTGTTTTTTTTTTATATTATTATTTCATTTAGATTCCTCGACTAGTTTCGGCCAAAATGGCCATCATCGGGAAAAGAAATATTTTTGCTTGCTGTTAGCACTAAACTACAGAAATGAATGTCTTGATGGAGAAAATGAACTTTTGTCTGTAGTTTTCATTTTTTTTTTTTTTAATTTTTTTATCTTTTTAACATGAATCTTTTAACATCCCTTGTGTTAGTCAAACTGTCTCTTTTAAGTTATTTGAGATAAGAGCTGGATGGATCTATGCTTCTCTGAATTCTCTTGGTCAGTTTGACAGTTTTATTGGTCCTGGAGAAGGGGATGTGTCTCTGTTTAATGTTTGTGTGTGTGTTATTTGGTTCTTAGGGAGTGAGTGAGTATGATATGTGTAAGCGTGTGTATTGCTGTGGGTGTGTGTTATCATTTGGCTCATTAGGGAGTGAGTGAGTATGTTGTGTGTAAGTGTGTATATTCATGTGGGTGTGTGTGTAAGTGTGAGACCTCAACACCTCTGTAAGCATGTCTGTCTTGTTTGGGTGAGAAATATATATGTATTCGCATGTGTTTTTGAACATAAAAATATAGGTCCTTGCTAGATTAGATAATCATTATATTTATCTTTTATATGTTTATATTTGATTTGTAACCTGGAGTCGATATTAAATTTGTCAAATTTTCTCAATTACACAGCGGCCCTTTTAGTAAATGTCATTCAATTTTACTTTCCTTCGCCCCATCTCTCACCCCCACCTCATCTTTCCCTCCCTCTTATTCTGATCTTCAACATTAGATCATCTATGGTGTGTGTATGTCACCATGAAATGTATCTTTATGCATTAGACATCTGACAACATTCATTTTTCTCTTACTTAAACCCCTTCCACCCACCTCTCTAAAATTCTCTCTGTTAAGGTTTAATCTCCCTCCTCCTCATACTTACACTCTCTCTAAATTCTGTTTTTATTTCCAGAGTTGTTTTTTCTGTTTTCTTTTTGAATTTGTAGGTCTGATGAATTGGATCGTATTTACGATTCCAATGGAATAAATTATGACCATGGAATATTAGTGTTTAAGCCTTTTTATTATATATATATATATATATATATATACACACACTATTGTCTTCCAGAGACTCACATATCTGTTTTAAAACTAAAAATATTAATTTTTCCTCCCCTTGAATTTTTGTAGGTTCATATTGGTATTTCTGGATTTATTAGAGAAGGAGACAGCACCATTGGTATTCCAAATGCCACTGTACATGTCCATGGAATAAACCATGATGTAAAAACTTCTAAATTTGGAGACTTTTGGCGTTTATTGGTTCCAGGCACTTATGATGTTACTTTTACAGCTAAAGGGTAAGTATATATAGAATCTTTGTCTACTAATCTTACTTCACCAATTCTTGATGAGAATAATCGGAAACAAATTAAATTTCAATTACCATGATATTGGTAAAATTTAGAAATGAATTCAATTTGGAAAGGGTTAAAAAAAATGTTTTTTAAAATAATTCTCTTTGTTAATTGATTTTAATCAAATGTTTGCTTAATATCAGACACAAGATATATTTGATAAGTAAAAAAAAAAAAAATAATTGTACCATTGAGATGAAAAGTCAGGAACCCATAATAGATAAGAAAATGTTACAATGGTCTGTTTCTTAGCACCTATAATTTCCAACTATTCTAAGAAATGTCTCAATATAACAGTCTGTTTTTTTTATCTTTTGTGTGTGTATGAATTTGGTATTAATTACAAAAATTAACATAAAATACAATATTACTTATAAAAATTAGCATAGAAATCCAGTATTAATTATAAAAATTAACATCAAATCTCAGTATTAATTTTAAAAATTAACATAGAAGTCCAGTATTACTTATAAAAATTAACATAAAAATCTACTATCAATTATAAAAATTGAAATAAAAATTCCATATTAATTATAGGTTTCTACCATAATCCAATAATGTCTAGCATCCCACTTTTGGAAAGTGAATCTTAATAGCCTAAGTACATTGACAAAGAAGATTTTTTTTATACAAAAATAAATGCTTATTTTTCCTTTTCATCTCTTGGCTACAGTTTTCAACTATGTCTTTTCAACCTGTAGTCAACTCTGAACCGACCATTCGGTTGAACTCTCTTCCTACGGGCGGGAGGAACCCGAAGGAGGCTACGCCGAAGGTCGGAGTCTCCTTCGGGGAGATAAAACCGGCCCTGAACCTGTTTATATGGGTTCAAATGGGCTATTTTTTGGCCGAGCCTAATGGCTTGGGAATGTCCACGATAAAAAGCCCTTGTGCCACATGACACCCTCGTTGGGTGACTGAATATCGTCTTTCAACCTGTAGTTTTCAAAGAGTTTTAGATTTTTTGCACATGGTTATTATAAAAGCACATGCGTCTGTGTATATGAACTGTTCAAATATTAACATTGCTCATGAGAAAAAAAAATGTTTTTCTTAATATTTTTCAGTTACAAGGCAGTGACATACACCAATGTGACAGTTCCTAAGGGGGCAAATGTCAAGACCGTGGTGAAAATGTGGAAAGAGGAATCAAATAAAATAATTGAGTAAATACCAACAAATTATGCTTGTTTATATGTTATATTTTTTTTAATTCTTTGAAATATTAATTAAGAGTTGTATGTGATTTACTCAAAATTACAAAGAAGTTAGAATAGTCTAAAATTGTGTTAAACTATCTTCTTGCCATTATTATCAACTTTTGTCAAGTCTTTCTTTCATCTTATTTTTAGTGATAATAAAAATTCACAATAATATTACTACTACTGAAATAAAAAGAAAGTGAAATTAAGAAGAATAAATATTAAAAAAAAAAGAATAATAGTAGACAATAGTTAATCCAATCAAGATAAAATTTACTATAATATTACTAATAATAATAAATTAATAAAAAGGAGAGCCATTTTTTGAATCATTTCACCCCAAGCAAGGTAATAAAGCTACTACAATGCAAAAGGTTACTTAGTGTGAAAGAATTATAGAAAAAAAACATTATTAATGTGAGAGAACAATAAAAGAACAGGAATTAAGAAGACAGAAGATAACGATTGACATTGCATTTAAAGTTGACTGGAAAGTAAGCTGGAAGGAAGTTCAACAAGTAAAAAATGTGAGAGAAGAAACTGTTAGCATAAAACTTACAGTTACATCTAGCCAGCTCAATTGTAAAAAGATGAGACCAAGTTGCCAATCTAGTACTGCACTTCATAAAGTTGAGATACCATAGAAAAAAATTAATTAGAACTCTTATCTATTTGAATTAGACTCTTGATAATTTTAATCAACAATGCTGTCTATGAAAATTATCTTTCTTAGACTGCATTGTGCTTTATGTAATTAGATTGACTGCTTAAATTAGGACAAGAGTGTTAAAACCTGTTTTTCACTATAAAATATAGTTCTGGGTATGATGATAAACTACATCTGGCAGCAAAGCCTCTGATCAGGAGATTGGAGGTTTTGAGAAGAATAGAACAACCTTTTATTTGTTGCTGTCCCCAGGTCCACCCTGACTTGGTGTAGTAGCACCTGTTAGGGTCCCAGCTAAGGGCAAATAGCACTCCCCAACCAAAAAACACTATGAAACTATAAAAATATATTTTTATAATAAAAATACCAGAAATACATTTTTATAAAAAAAAAAATAAAATAAATGAAAATTAAGAATATGGAAGATAATGATTGACATTGCATTTAAAGTTGATTGGAAAGCAAGCTGGAAGAAAGTTCCACAAGCGAGAAGTGTGAGAGAAGAAATTGTTAGCATGGAACTTATGGTTACATCTAGCTATTTCCACTGTAAAATAATGAGATATTATTGTCAATCTAGTACTGTGCTTATATTCATAAAATCTAGGTAACATAGATGAAAGTTTATCAGAACAATTACCATGAAAATATTTATAGAAAAGTCACAGGGAAGCTATGTTATAGTGGTGAGAAAGTGACTGAATCCGTGATGTCAGGTTAAGATTAATAACATTGCAGATTCTTTTTTGTATTTTATCAAGAATCTCTAAATCCAGAGCAGGAGTACTAGATCAGATTTTCCAGCAATATTCAATGCCCAATGATAGATTTATAAATGTGTAAGATAGATTCTGTCAAGTGAAATTGTCTAGCACAATTTAGGGAACCAACTTTCCTAGCAGCAGATTCAATATAATCTTTCCACTTCGCAGAAAATGTTAGCCTGAGACAGTGTATTGAGTCGCTCACTTGAAGGTTAGCATCAGCCATGCTGATGGAAGACAAAAAAAGTTCACTCAGATGATTTTTGGAGGCATTAAAATTAACTAGCCATTCTTTGTCCCAGTACTACAGAAGGATCCTAAGAATTCCATGGACCATACATGTGGGTAACAACCAAGTTTTAGAGAAAAAGGAAACAAAAATTTAGGTTTATACTTAATCACAAAAAGATAGTTAAAAATCTAGTGCAGTCAGTGAGGAAAGAGAGCTTGGAAAATTTGACACTCACAGGACATAGAGGAACAAAGGAAAACAACACCTGCTTAACGAGCTTGTGTAAATGGTTGAAACAAAAGGGACTAGGAGAGATAGCAAAAAGAACTACAAAGGACTGGAAACGGGAGAGCCATGATCAGCAACGTCTTGAAAGGACACAGCACATAGAAGAAGAATAATAAAAGGAAGAGAAATTAAACATAGTAGGTAAAAATACATTAATGTTTCATCTAATATTGAAATTTTAAAATATCTGCTGTCACCATTCTTCAAATCCAGGCACTCAGCATTTCAAATAGGCAATTCCAGGAATAGATATTGTTATTTTTATGACATTTGTAGCCTTAAAGTAATTTAAGCTTATTATCTTCATTTTATTCATGAATTTCAATTGCTTTTTCTTGCATTAGTAGTATTAGTAGTAATATTATCTTGACTTTTATTCTTATAAGATGAAGCATTGTCAGCCATTATTCATTTTTGACTTGGATTTCTTTCATCTTAATTTCAATTGCTTTTTATTCCATTAGTAGTATTAGTAGGAATATTATCTTGACTTTTATTCTTATTAGATGAAGCATTGTCAACCATTATTCATTTTTGACTTGGATTTCTTTCATCTTAATTTCAATTGCTTTTTATTACATTAGTAGTATTAGTAGGAATATTATCTTGACTTTTATTCTTATTAGATGAAGCATTGTCAGCCATTATTCATTTTTGACTTGGATTTCTTTCATCTTAATTTCAATTGCTTTTTATTACATTAGTAGTATTAGTAGTAATATCTTGAATTTTTTTTCTTACTAGATTATGCATTGTCAGCCATTTTTAATTTTTGATATTTAGTTAATCTATCTTAATCTAATTTACATAGACTGATTGACACAATGATAAATTGTGATTTAAAAACAAAAAAAGGACACAATATATACTAAGAGGAAAGAAAAATCAAAAATTTAATAAAGTGTCCAGATGTTGATTTTATCTGCACGTTCTCTCATCTCTGCTTTTTTTTTTCTCCATGTGGGTGAGTGGTTGGGAGTATGGTTAGCTCATTCCTCTCTGTTACATCTCGTGTCCTTTCTTGAGAATGTCAAACACAGCTTCTTGACTTACACACAGCAACGACCATGGCCAGCTAATGGCAATATCCTGCGAATAAGCCCATAATCAGCTTTTATACTTGTACTTCTGAAGAGCTGCACACTTCTGACAGCTAGGCAACGTGTTGATTACAACCATTTCATTGCATGATTTTCTTAAGAGATTAATTATTGGCAGACATAATCTTGACAGCATTAGATGTACAGATGGCATAGTGTTGGGAGCAGAAACAGTATGGAAACTTCAAGAACCCTAACAGAAGGTAATAGAAAAAAGCAAAAAGAAAGACTAAATATCAATTGTAAGAAGAAAGAATGCATGGTTGTCAGCAAAAGAAACAATCCATCATGCAAATCACAAATTGGAAATCTTGAAATTAAACAAGGGAAAAAATTAAAATATCTTGAAAGTGTTTTAATAGAGGATGGCAAATGCAATATTGAAATCTGGAGGCACATTTACAGGAACATTGCAGCCAGGTGGGGTTGTGGTAGCCTTGACTCTCCCAAAATTTTTACTAATTGTAGTATTTTTTACAGGGTTTTATTTTAATAAAATACAATAAAGAAAGAAATACAAGAAAGAAAAAAAACTATCAAAGTAAGGTAGTACTGGAAATTGTAAATGTTTTTGCTGCTAACCATGTTGGCAGCCTTTGATAACTTAAGGCTAATTTTTTTTTTCCCCTCCAAAATATTTGTGTCTTCTACAGCCCTGCATTAAGATAGCAAAAGATGCCTTCCAAAAGGTGAGCAAAGTATTAAGGAAAATTTCATTCGAAATAAAGAAAAGTGTACAGAACTTTTATGTAATAGTCTTTCTATATGGCAATGGATATCTGTCTACACATGGCACAGTGGATAAAGGCGTTGGTTAGATCCAGTGACAGAACCCAAAGAGTGTGAGTTCAATACCCGGTTAAGGCAGTGGAGAACATTCAGAGGGAAATTACCAGGAAATAACTGACATCCATTAAACATGGCACGTGGAACTAGAACAGTCTACCCCAATGAGTGAAAAAAAAGGGTTAAGTTCGACAATCCAACCACCTGAAGAAGGCCGAAGCATACAACGGCTGAAACGTTTTAATAAATATAGCAACAAAGATGATGACAATAGTCTGATTAATGTAAATAATGGCAATGGATATTGCACCATCTCATCACAGATGGAGAAGAAACTTGAGGCAACAGAAATGTGCTTCTACAAAAGGATACTAAGAAAGGAAAAAAGTGAAAGGAAAGTAAGCAAAAGAAGAAAAGAGTAAAGAAAGGAATGCAAGGGAAGGAAGGAAAGAGTGAAAGAAAAGGAAGAGATGGTAGGTTGAGCTAAGAAAAGGAGAAACATAAAAAAGTAAAAGAAATGTGAAAAATAACTGGAAGAAGTCAAAAAAAATAAAAAAAGAAAGAATTGAATAAGAAAGTGATTACCTCATGATATTTTTTCACTTGTTAGAAACAAAGAATGCTGAACTGCTACATAATAGCAGTCTTCTTATATGGCAGTGAATGCTGGACAATCTCCTCACAGATGAAGAAGAGACTTGAAGCAAGAGAAATATGGTTCTACAAAAGGATGCTGAAAACAACATGGACTAAGAAACCAGTACTGAAGTGTTATATGATATCGGTCCTCCTATATGGCAGTGAATGCTGGACAATCTCCTCACAGATAAAAAAGAGACTTGAAGCAACAGAAATGCGGTTTTACAAAAAGATGCCGAGAATACCATGTGAGCAGAGATAGTTTTTAGAGAGAATGGAAACAAACAAAAACTTATACATAGCATTAGAAAAAGAGAGTTGAAATTTCTAGGACACAATGAGAAAAGAGGGCTTCGAAAATATGAGAGAGGGGAAAGCAGCACATAACCTACCTAACGAGCTTGTGTAAATGGTTGGCAGAACAGGGATTAGGAGAGATAGAAAAAAAGACAAACTTTACTAACGACTACAAAAAGCAGGAAATCGTGGAGAGCCAGGATCATCCACATTCTGAAGGGACATGGCACATTGTAGAAGATGACAACAACAACTCAAAGCAAGGCCTCAAGGACACATGGCACAGTGGATAAAGGCGTTGGTCAGATCCAGTGACAGAACCCAAAGAGTGTGAGTTCAATACCCGGTTAATGCAGTGGAGAACTTTCAGAGGGAAATTAACAGGAGATAATTGATAACTGACATCCATTAAACATGGCTCGTGGAACTAGAACAGTCTACCCCAGTGAGCAAAATAAAGGGTTCAGTTCGACATTCCAACGACCTGTAGAAGGCTGGAGCGTACAACGGCCGAAACGTTGTAATAAATATGACGACAAAGATGAGGACAATAGTCCGAATAATGTGAATAATTTGCAAAGCAAGGCAATTAAAACAGGAGACCATTGTAACTGTACATGCTCATTAATAATAGTTTACAACTTCATTATGATTTTGATCCTCATTGGGTACTTCATATGTGTTTCCTTATCAAGCTTAGCTTAGAAAATATTATCAGTTGCATTGACATAGTTTCAATGAGCAAACTAGTCTTGTAAGCAATACTTTAGTGGGTTTGATCCTCAACAGGTGCTTTCTGCTTGTGATGCTGTAACTTTAAGCTAACCTTAATAATTATCTGTTTGCCTTAAAATTAAAACTTTGTACAAGACTACAGCTATCAATTTTCACACCTGTAATTGATAGTGGTAGTATGTCTGATCTCGACAGCTCACAAATTGGCAAATTGTCTAATTCCTTGTGCATTCATGAATGTTTGGCCTGATATAAAGGACTGTTCAACTTCCTGTTTGTTTGACTGAAATAAGATAACTGGGATTTCCATACAGAATGAATAATGACTCAATGCCTGTTCAGCATTCAACAATTTGTTGTTTATTACAAAGATAATGAGAAAAATATACATATAGACTTATAGGAAACACTTATTCCAATACTATGATGTGTTGTAGTAATTATGCCCGTGTTTTTGTTCATTCATAGTCTTCCTAATGAACAGACTCTTATGATGGTCAATAACCTACTCTCTTTTCTTATCTCACATGTTTCTTTAAACAATTTTTATCTCCAGAATCTATCTTACATATCTACAAGTCTATTATTCATCCATCCTTAAATTATTGCTGCCACATATGGTCTTGTGCTCCTGCTACATATTTAGTGATTTGTGATAAAATCTAAAGAAGGATCTGCAATGGTATTGGTTCTGACCTGGCATCATTGCTTTAGTCACTTTCTTACCACCATAATGTAGCTTCTCTGTGCTTTTTCTATAAATACTTTCATGGTAATTAATCTGATGAACTTTCCTCTACATACTACTCTAAATACTCATTGGGGTTAATTTTTAGAATTGTTGTTTTATTCCCTTCCTCCCCACAGACCACGAATTGTAAATATGGGGACTAGTTAGTATTTTCATAGAGACAAAGAGGTATTATGGTGGTTGTAGTAAGAAAGGTACGAATGAATGTGTTGTTTTGGTGTAAGGAATATTGTTTCGTAAGATTGGGTCAGTGTTTGCGGCTAGCTAAGTTATAGTTAAGACAGAAGAAGACCGTCCCTTTCCCAATCCCCTTTTCGGCCTTGTGCCACATTTCTGTATTAAACAGAATAAATATCACTTTCCTCTACATGACATATTGTACATATAGGAACTAGTTAGGACTACATAGAGACTTTGAGGTACTATGGTGACTGTGGTAAGAATGTATTGTTTTGGTGTAAGGAATACTGTGGTATGTTTAGGTCAGTAATCGTGACTAGCTAAGTTTAAGATAAGACAGATCGAAGACCAGCCTTCCCCATTTTTTGGCCTTGTACCACAGTTTTATATTATTCAAAATATATCAGGTGCCCAAAAAAGTTTTTGCCAATTTTTATAAAGGAAATTAAAGATGCATATTTAAAGTCTTAAATGTATTTATCCATCAAAATACGAATCATCACATTCTATGACCTCCCAACGGTTCAACAACTGAGTAATGCCATTTTTGTAAAAGTCCTTAGCTTTACTTTGGAAAAAGTTATGCACTTACGTTTTTAAGTCATCTTCATTATTAAATGTCCTGTCCTTCATATGATTATCTAAACCTAAAAACAAGTGAAAATCTATTGGGGATAGGTCTGGTGAATACAGTGGATGACATATAATCTCCCACTTTAGCTCTGCTATCTTGGCAAGGGTCATTTTTGTATTGTCCTGGAGAAACAAAACTTGTTTTCTGTTTACTAATGCAGGCTGTTTCTTCAACAAACTTTCCTGAACTCGTTCAAGTTGCTCGTAATATTTGTTAGCAGTAATCATTTCACCTGCTTTTAAAACTCATATTGAATTATTCCTTGACATATCCACCAAACACACAGCAAAATTTTTTTTTTTTTTTTTTTTTTTTTTGGAATAGTGATGCCTTTGAAGTTTGTGGCAAAGGATCACCCGATGATAACCAATGATGTTTCCTCTTAGAGTTTGTATACATGATCCACTTTTCATCATATGTCATAATTCAATCAAAAATGGGTTCTTTTGTTAGTCTACTGCAATGAGAAGAGCATATAGTAAGCCTCTGCAGTTTGTTTGCTGGTGTTAAGTCATATGGTACCCATTTGCTTAATTTCCATTTCTTTCCCAGCTGGTGCAAATGCAGTCTTATTGTTTCATCACTTACATTAAACCTCAAAGCTAGTTCATGATATGTTAAATCTGAATCTGATTCTATAGCTGCCTTTAAATCCTCATTGTTTAGGGATATTGGTCGTCGAGCTCAGGGTTCATCTTCAGGGTTTCATTGCCACAATGAAACTTCTGAAACCAATAACGTGCAGTTCGTTCTTATCAAAGGCTTTACATAGTTTACGAGAAGCATATGATGCACTTGTACCAAGTTTAAACTCATACAACAGACAAGCACAAATTACCAATTTTTTATCAGTGACTTTGAGGGTGTTGAAATGAGAAATAAAATGATATTAGTTATGTAATAAATTAATAACTGAATCATTCAACAATGTACTTATCAATACAAATTGCTTCCTGTATACTTATGCTTGCTAGTAACTAAACAGCTGGGCCAGAAATAAGTTAACAAAAATTGGCAAAAACTTTTTGGGGCACCTGATATGTTAGTCTCCTCTGTACTACCTAAGTTTTATGAATTTAAGTGCAATACTAGATTGACGGCAAGGTCTCATCATTTTACAGTTGAAATGGCTCCATATAACCCTAAGTTCTATGCTAACAGTTTTTTCTCTTGTATTTCTCATCTGTGGAACTCTCTTCTGGTAATTGTTGTAAGGAGCTTTCCTCTATGGTACCTAGACTTTATGAATTTAAGTGCAGTACTAGATTGGCAACAAGGTCTCATCATTTTACAATTGAAATGGCTACATGTAACCCTAAGTTCTTTGCTAACAAAGATATCAAATCCAAATCCAGGGTTGACTCGCCCCATGACTTCATCTACCCTTTGACAGCTCTTGTTTTTTGTGCTGCTTGGGTTCTTCTTACCTGCCTGGTGGGGGAGCTGGTTTAGTTGCCAACTGCTCGACCACTCAGGCTTTGAATTCAGAGTTGTCCTTCTCCTACATTGGGTGCTACTCAAGGCTATAGGACCCAGTCTGTCCTACTATTTTACCCATAGCTGGGGGTAGAAAAGATGGATTCCTACCTTTCCTAAGGGTACTAGCATGTAAATGAATGTAATGAACTCAACTGGAATTTGAACTCTGCTTCCCAAATCCTTCGATCCGAGCTGCTAACCATTATTCCACTGTCCCACTCAGTTATCATTATTTTAGCATTCACTGCAATATAAGGGAACTGATATTACATAACAGTTCACTACTCTTTGCCTTGTTTCAAACAAAATTTTCCTGCTTCTTAATTCTTTGCTTAGCTTTTGGAAGGCATCATTCACTATTCTAATGTCCCTTTGGATTTTGGTATCACATTTTACATCCGCTGTTAAAACACTTACTAAACTTTTATTCCAGTACATTGTTAAAATGGTTATATTTTATTATTAGTTATTGTTATTAATCTCTTATTGTGCCTAATAAGATCTACAGTAATTTAGAGCCTTCTATCCATCACATAACTTTCATTATGTTGTTATAATGGTTCTATTATTAAGTATTGTTTTTAATCTCTTATTCTGCCTAATAAGATCTACAATAATTTAGAGCCTTCTATCCATCACATAACTTTTATTCCAGTATGTTATTAAAATGATTCTATTTTATTATTAGTTATGGTTGTTAATTTCTTATTATGCCTAATAAGATCTATGGTAAGAATGAATCATCTTTCCATCACATTACTTTTATTCCAATATATTCTTATAGTTGTTTATTATTAGTTAATGCTGTTAATCACGTATTCTATCTAGTTTCTAACTGAAATCTTATAACTTTACCTGTATAGGTAAAAACTATGTATTTCATGTTGGGTGATGTCCAGATTTCTGGCATCTGTTGCAGGTATTTGAAACTCATCTTCCATAGACTAGGAAGAGGAACATGCTCTGTATTTATGATTATTTTTTTTAAATTTCAGCTCGGACGCTCATTCAAATCAACCCACAAATAAATCAAAACCTCTTTTGGAAAACCTCAATTGGTTGGTAAAAGAAATCGACAAGCTTCATGATGCAGAGCACCGAACTGCTCTCAAATTCGTCGAGCCAAAAGAATTTATTTATCACCATTTCCCACAGATGGAAACTTTCTTAAAGACCTGTCGAAAGCTATGTCCAAATATTACTCGTCTTTATTCAATTGGAAAGTCTGTTCAAGGTCGAGACTTGTGGGTCTTGGAAATGACAAGAGATCCTGGAATTCACATTCCAGGTATGAAGAAATTGGAAATGCTTTCATTCTTTTCTTTGTTACTATTTATTTATTGTTTTCTCTGACAAAAAAAAAATGGAAAAGTTTAGCAATTATTTTCTGTCTGAATTTCTGGGATGAAGAATTATCATTCATTCACTTATTTAGTTAGTGTATTTTGCACCACTGTGGTCACCACACTCCTCCATCTCACAATTGTGGTTCAAGGCAGAATAGTGCAATGGTTTGACAGTTCTGTTTGCACTGGAGATGCTGAGGTGACCCCGTCCCTTATTTCAGATGTTCAAGATGCAAGACCTACAAGGCCGAAGATGTTTTGAATTCAGAGTTTTTTTCTTCTTGACTGGCAATGGTGTATGTATATATATATATATATATATATATATATATATATATATATATATATATATATATCAGTTAGATCAGGGCTACAGGAATGTAGGACGCCCATGGCTAAGATACAAAGACAAGCTGAAAAACAACTTGTCAGCAGTTAATATACCACATAACACCCTTGAGCGCTTAGCTTTGGAGTGGGTAGAATGGAGATCAACGTGTTTTAGTGGACTCAGCAATTTTCAATCTGCTTGTCTGAATCGTCTTCAAGAAGCGAGAGCAAGATCTAAAAGGTCAACCAATCTAACAGTGATCTCATCTCACAATCCTCACACTTGCTCCATATGTGGCCTCCTTTGTAAATCACTAGCGGGTCTTAAATGCCACTTAAGATTAGCACATAAACTTTCATAATTGAATCAATAAGCTGGCAGATCCTCATACATCAAAACCAACGGGAGAGTCCATTATTATCATTCATATATATATATATATATATATATATATATATATATATATATGTGTGTATTCATTTATTTAGTTAGCGCAATTTGTGCAATTGTGGTCACCACTCCCCTCCATCTCATAATTGTGGTTCATGGTGACAGTCAGTGCAAAACAGTGCCAATGGCTTGCAAGTTTCTTTTGGACTGGGTATGTTGCGGTTACCTCATCCTTCCTCTCGGAGGTGAATTTTTTTAAGTTACCTTCTTCTAGCCTTTGCCTAAAGAAGCTGGACCTACAAGTCAGCAGGTGGTTTGAATTAGGAGTTTCTTTCCCTTTATCATCATCTTAGACCTCCCTATGGTTGGTCAGAACTTCATTGACAATCCCTTTCCCCACTGTTTGGTCCTGTATTGCTGTCCCCAGATCCCCAATGTCCAACTCGAGCTATGGTGTCTGGGAAAGTCAATTTTAATGAGAAGACATTTCCAGAAGGATGCCATAGGAGTAAGGATGAGACGATTTCCCTGTCTGCTCGGTGGTAGTGCCCGGCAAACAGTAATCATTTTTGTTTGAGTTTAACCCATTACCTGCCATGAGCTCCATTTGAGAATCTGTTAAAATTAAACTCGCTACATGTTATTCCTTGTATTTAAATTGAATTGCTTACGTACATTGCATTTGCAGAGGTATATTTTACAACACTTAGCCTTTAAAGTTTTTATTATTAGCTGTAAGAAGACATTTTCTGTCGTAATTTTACATTTCACAAGTAGAAAAATAATAACTATTTTGAAAAGTATTTTTTTTATTATTTCTAATCAATATTATTTTTTGATGCTTTATACACATATGTATTTGATGTTCTAGTTTCTATAAAAATAACAATGGTAACTACTGAAATTAAACATAAGGAATAAATAAACTCCTAAGACACCTGTCTGGGCCAAAAATACACATTAAAAAAATTTGGCAGTTAAGGGGTTAAGAGAGATTTGTCTCAGTTCTCTGAAAATTGTGTTAAGCGTTACATGGAATCTCCAAGTGATATTCTGGCACATAGAAGTAGTAGTCAACTGCTAGAAGTGAGTCAAGTGAATTGTGCAATGAATCTCCAACTTCAGACCAACATACAGTATTTACTACTGTATTTATGTGAATGGGGACATACCCATTATCGTCCGTAGGTATGCTACAACAATATTGATATAAATATGTTTGGATTTTATTAAAATTCTAAAAATAGCTTTTTAAAACAATAAAACTTGCTGAGAAAGTATAGAGTAACAGCAGAATCAAGAAAAGAACCATTCTTTTAAGGGCTTAGCACCACATCACATTGAAACACCAATTCCCATATGATCAAGCAATATCAAGCCTTGTCAATGCCTAGATGGGTGACCACTTGGAAATACCAGGTACTGTATGCTTGAGTGTATGAGTGGTGTAATGGATAATGGCTCACAATTATTAATCAGAAACCAGAGTTCCAATTCTGGTTGGGTTCATTATAAACACTTACCTGCAAATACCCTTGCGAAAAGCATGAATCTACCTCTCCTCCTCCCCGGCTATGTTAATTAGTAAGGCTTGCATTAAAACAATTAAGAAAAATATTTTCTAGCCTTAAATAACCTGTAAATGGTTGATAAGTTGTAAGAAACAGAAAAAAAAATTGACACAGCTTTATTTTATGCAGATATGTTTGTTAAACTTTGCAAAAAAAATGATTTTATCATTGAAGTACTAATTTTAAAATATTTGGCAGCATCAATATCCTTACAAAAATTTAATTTTATAAATATAAAAAATCCAGATATACTAGTTATTGTTATTAAATATTATTTTTTCACCGAAATATAATCTCATTTGTGCTTGGCCAAGTTGTTAGAATATATGCATTCTAACCCTAAGACTCTGGTTCAAATCACATATAGTTAATTTGTTCGAGGTCACTTCTTGATAATATTGGCCTGAGGAGAAAATCCCAACATTGCAGCATTGTTGGGATGTGCCTGAAAACTATACCTTAAATTGATCCAAGCTTTGTGAGTGAAATTATTTGGTAGATATCAATGATTGCACTAGTAACTATCACAAGTCATGGTGAGTGAGAGTTTGAGCATACTTGTTCAAACTGCTGATCATGCTAGATGATATGATCTCTTGTAGAAACTGTTAACTAAGGTCTGATCAGTGTAATTGCAGTATAAACCATAAGTGGGAATTTTGGTTGGGGAAACAAGAATGTGCCTGAGCCAGTGTCTGCAACAGGTTTAGTGTTGTTGTGTTAACTCCTGATTAGGATTTTAGATGCCACTTTTCAGATAATCACTTGTCTATGTGATGCCATATGCACACCTTCTGTCGAAAAACCATGGATAATTAATAAAACAGTTGAAAGTTTTATACTGGCTTATTCCTATGCTTCAACAGTGAGACAGAAAAGCTGCTATTAGAATTTGAAAATAAAGGAGAAGCAATGAGTGTCATTTAGAGTTCCCTTCTCGTTGCACTCACTGAGGTGGACTGTCAAGCTGGCCAAATTGAGCTTGAACTCTTCTCTCTTGCCAACTTGCTTGGGGAAAAGTTATGAATCACAGCTTATAGCTGGCACTCCTCCCAGACTAAAATATTTTGGCCAGGAGTGATCAGAGGTAGATAAGAGTGACACTCCCCAATTGTTGTCTGATTTCCAATTACAGCTCATTTAATATTCACCATTGTATAGGAATTAATCTAATCCCCTTACTATACTGAGATCCTCAGAAAACAAGCAGCCAGATATTATAATTGCATGACCATAGACATATCTGTATAATAAAAATAGAAATAATTCTATCATCCAATTTTGATCACAATTAACTGTCATACTGTGGAGGGGTATGATCATGGGTGGATGATAAAATACTCCATAGCTTTTGTTTCCAGTGATGCAACATATAAGTTAATCAGAATGAATTTTTTTTCTATCATGTCTGTTGCAAAAATTAAACGATTTTTTTTAGCTTAGTTTTTGTTTATTTTAGCTAAATATAAAAATATTTTACTAGTTTAAAACTTGTCCTATTAGGTAGCATTTAAGCTAACTCCTGCAGAGAGCTCTTGATTGGGTCTTCATCATAATAGGTAAAGAGGAGTAGATGCGATATGCAACAATAAACTACAGAAGAACTCAAAATTGATTGCTGCATTTAAGTATTACATTAAGATTTAAGCTTACCTTTTAAAAGTTCAATGATAATTCTTCTGCAGCTACTTAAGTTAAAGACAATTTGATGTACGTAGGTCCTTACTTTCATACAAACAATTACTTTTATTTCATGAGTGACTTTCCCTGGATTTTGCAATTAATTTTGATTAATTCCAAATTTATTTCCAAGTTATAAAAATTATCGTACAAAATATTTGGCAACAATAAACTACAGAAGAACTCAAAAATGATCACTGCATTTAAAGATTGAATTAATGTTTAAACTTATCTTTTTAAAAGTTCAATGAGAATTCTTCTGTAGCCACTTAATTTAAAGACAATTTGGTGTATGTAGGTCCTTACTTTCATACAATTATTTTTATTTCATGGGTGACTTTCACTGGATTTTGCAATTAATTTTGATTAATTTCAAATTTATTTCCAAGTTATAAAAATTATCATACAAAATATTTGTCGCAAATAATCATGTAAAAAATTGCCAAAAACAATCGCAGTAATGAAAATTTGGGAATCCAAAATTTCAGGATTGCAGGTTCAGATCTGTCCTGGAATGTTTTTAATTTGCTTACAGAGTCGATCTGATTCCAAAATGGTATGATATGTTGAGCTACGACCCCTGGGAGCAAAATTGAAAAGGTGTGACACAGAAACACACTGACATTCAGATTTATTATATAGATACTTAAATCAATTAAAATTAACTTTTATATTCAAGTAGGTTAAATTTCGTAAGTTCAAATTGAGTATAATTCTTTTTTTCACTAAAATTGACATTTTTTAAGCTTTCAGTTTTTTGTTTTTTTTTTACTAACACATTTTTTTATTTTTTTATTTTTTTAGAATACCCACCTTTTTTTTTCTTAAACTTGTTACAAATTTAAAAAGATTAAAAATAGGGGTTCAGAAATTCTTCCTAAATAATTTTAATTATTTTTTAAAATCTTTCAAACTATTTTAATAAATTAGAATTCCTTTTTAATCATTTCAATTTCTCTTTATTTTTTATTTTTTCAGATCATGTTTTCAATCTATGACTTTAACTGCAAGAAAATTTTTCTGAAAATATTTAATTCTCATTTTACCTTGTCGATTAAGTGTTTATCTTTTATTTGCAGGCAAACCAGAATTTAAATATATTGCCAATATGCACGGGAATGAGGTTGTTGGGCGTGAAATGCTCTTGCTGTTAGCTCAAGTGTTCTGTGAAAATTATGGCAAAAATCCTTTACTTACTGCCATGCTCAACTATACAAGAATTCACCTCATGCCTTCTATGAACCCTGATGGCTTTGAAAAAGCCAAAGAAGGTTTGTCTCTCTCTTTACCACATTGTAAAAATCTCTCACTGTTTTATTGTATTTTATTCTCATTTGCATTGATGTTCACAGAAACTGAGAAAGGTCCATTGCACGTTCACAAGAGGTGAAATTAAGCCACAGGGTGCATGAAAATGTGAATCCTAATTCCAGTAGATTTGGTTGTTTATTCAAGGATTCACTTGACACTGTCTGGGGTGGGGTAGGTAGTTGACACTTGGAATAACTTCTACTTCTGTCACAACAGACTGACAGATATGCTCTTCCCTTTGGTCAGTGAGAACTCATTCCTGCCACCCCTCTGCCCATCCTTTTATCACAATGTGTGGCTCACAGCTTGAAACTACTCTTTAACAAGCAGTCCAGAACTCTCTGCCTATTCTAACAGTCACTCTGCTAATATAAATCTGCAACTGAAACTTCGTAACTTCTGAACAAGTGGCACTTGCCCCTGAAAGTTTTTATTTATCTTTTGGTAAAGTGGGTGGCCACTTTATAGACTTTATTGCTGATCATAAAAATCACTAGCTGTTACTTTGTGCAACAGACTCTTGGCAGTATGTTTACCTAATATCAATAATATTGACCACTTCAAGTCTAAGGCTAACCATTATATTTCCTACATAACATAGTGAACTGTACCTCTTGCCTTTTCTTAAGCTCATACAATACCACACAGTAACCCTCTACCTTGAGTGGCTCTTAGACCTTGTACTGGGTGAAGATTAGTATAAAAAATTTTAAAAAAGGAAGATTCAGAAATCAACATCGAATACTGATTAGCAGTTTTATAACTTAAGCAATCTTGAAAGAGTTTGCTGAAACTGCAAATCAACATGCAGTGTTAAAATTTAAAAAAACAAATTTTGTTTTATTAGGAGATATTCATTAGATTGTTTTTTTATGACTGCTTAAGATGGTGGGAAATCAGAATATTTATTCTGTTTTACTCTGAAAATAACTCAGTTTTCTTATGACACAATTTTTAGATTGATTGTTTAATCAATTAAATCTGTTCTTATGTCGGTTGGGCAACTGATTTCAGTCTCTTAAAATCTATTAACTTATTCTAGTCTGTTTCTGTTGATTAAATGATTCCAGGTTACTCACATTGATCAATCTTAGGTTGTTTTTATCAACTGGCTGGTTCCAGGTCTATGTGCGTTGTTCAACTGACTTTGGTCCCATTCTGACCATGTAGATCAACTGACTTTGGTCCCATTCTGCCTGTCCCAGTCTCTTTGCATAGATCAGCTGGATAGTCCAAGACTGCCTGTGGAGATCAACTGGCTGGTTCTATTCTGCATGTTGATCAAGTGGCCAGTCCAATTCTGCCCATGTTGATCAACCAATCCTTGTCAGTTATTATCCACTGAGCTATCCCGGTCTGCCCGTGTTGATCAACCAATCCTGGTCTGTCACTATCCGCTGAGCTATCCCAGTCAGTTTATATTGATCCATTGACCTTGGTCTGTTTCCACAAATGATTCCAGTCTTCCCATTCTGATCAATCAGCCTCAGTCTTTTACTATCAATCAACCAATACTGGTCAGCTTCTACTTATTTGCTATTAATTGACCTTTTCCTGTATTTTAATCTCTTCCTACTCTTCCTTTTAGATGAATCGCTAATAATCTTCCTTTTTCTTTTTTTTTTTTTTTTTCTTTTTCTTTTTTCCAAAACACATAAATAGGTGATTGGGAAGGAATCAAAGGCAGAGCAAATGGCAATGATGTTGATTTGAACCGTAATTTCCCAGATCAATACTTAAATCAGGAAGAAAACGAAATAGTGGAACCAGAGACAGAAGCAGTGATGAAATGGCTGAAATCTATTCCATTTGTTCTTTCGGCAAATCTCCATGGAGGCTCACTTGTTGCCAATTACCCATTTGATGACACAAAAGACGGTCATTCAGTTTATAGCAAGTCACCTGATGATGCCATCTTCTTGCAACTGGCCAAGTCATACTCTTTGGTAAGTTATTATTTCTGGACTTATCTTATTCTGTTCACATATATATATATATATATATATATATATATATATATATTACAATAAACGTGCAATCAATTTACAAATACATGAATTATTCACACAAAACTAATGCAAAGGTTAATGATTTAAATGGTGAGACATCCATCATCATAAACAATTCAAATAGTACACAAAAACCTCCAGATCCGTTATGAATGAATTGATCCTTGTTTATATAAATTTCTGCCGTATTAGTTGTTATTTTTACTACAAGCTTTCGTCTGTTCCTACAGACATCTTCAGGTATATAATAGATGTTGTTCTTTTTTTTTTCTCTTAGTAATAAGAGGACATCGAAAATATATGTGTTATTGTATCCGAAATGCTATTGAAAATGAGTTATTGGTTTTGAACGCGCAAAGCAACGCTGAGTTTGATTTTAAATTTTTTAAAATGTTTGCGTTTATACCAAATATGGTGTTGAACAAATTTTTATTACTAAGAGAAAAAAAACAAGAACAACATCTATTATATACCTGAAGATGTCTGTAGGAACAGACGAAAGCTTGTAGTAAAAATAACAACTAATACGGCAGAAATTTATATAAACAAGGATCAATTCATTCATAACGGATCTGGAGGTTTTTGTGTACTATTTGAATTGTTTGTGATGATGGATGTCTCGCCATTTAAATCATTAACCTTTGCATTAGTTTTGTGTGAATAATACATGTGTGTATATATATATATATATATATATATATATAAATACTTATTTATAATTTTGGAGCAAAAACACCTATGTAACTATAAACAACTTTGGTTTTGGCCATCATGTCTTCATGTAAGTGTTTGTAATACCATACTACAATTATACAGTTATGGCACTGGAAGTTGAGAAGGGGAGGTGGTGTAGAAAAAAAATTCTTCATTCAGATCATAGGGACCAAGAATGTTTTTACTTACACTTATTTAGACATAGAATTAAAAACATTCTAGGTCTCTATGACTCTGAATGAAGAAATTTTTTTTCTCTCCACCTTCTTGACTTCCGGTGTTATAGCAATTGTAGTATGGCATTGCAAACACTTATTGCTCGCCACCTGAAGAGACCTGATGGTTGAAAACAAGGTTGTGTGTGGTTACATAAGGTGTTTTTGCTCCTTTATTATATTTACTTGTCCTGCATGTCCTTTTTCAAGGCAGCTGCATTGAGCACTTTTTGATATATGTCCATTTTGTGGTACAGTATTTTTCTGGCCTCTTAACAGATTTGTTTATATATATGAAATTGTGTGACTTTTGTATAAAAGTCGTTATTTTAATTAACACTGTTTACTTTTCTTTCCAATTTTTGTGTTTTGTGAAAATTTACTTTTATATTCTCCCAGCTTTTCTACAGTGAATTTAAGGTAAATCCTTATCCTATTTTTCAGAATGGGTTGAAAGTAAAAGATTCATATATTCTGATTAAGTATAATAATGTTTTGTATTTTACATGTTGACAATATATATATATATATATATATATATATATATATATATATATATATCTCAATGCATGATAAGCTTAATAACATTATCATTGAAAGACCAAAGAAAATTACCATATTGATACATGTTTTTTGATCCTATCTAAGCTTTCAGCTTACATAAGCCATCATCAGAGATGACAAGTACATTACAATAAATTAAACAATACACAAACATAGCAACAATGATAGTCTGTTTTGTTTGCTTGTCATCTCTGATGATGGCTTATGTAAGCTGAAAGCTTAGATAGGATCAAAAAACATGTATCAATATGGTAATTTTCTTTGGTCTTTGAATGATAATGTTATTAAGCTTATCAGACAATATGAAAGGAATTTACTTAAAATAAATAGACAAAACTTGTCTATATTATTTAATGAAACATGCATTAATGAAAAAATGCTGTCTAGATACACTATATATATATATATATATATATATATATATATATATATATATATATATATATATATATTTGGGCAGCAACATTTCTTTTTAAAAAACTTTCATTAAATATGCCAGACAAGGAAGATTTATTTTATTTTTTTATTACATTTTTCCAGCATCCTTACGTTTTTCTATTTTAAATCTTGGAACAATAAAAATTATGGAAAATTTCTAGATGTAAGAGAGGACAGAAATTTTCCATACAAGCATTTACAGTTACTTCTTTAGCCATTTCCAAGGGGGTTTTGTTTTTTATGTTGGGAGTTTTTCCTCATGTTTTGACTGTTTAAGTTGTATTTTATTTTTGTGTTGTTTTGAATAGGAGCATTTTTGTTTTTGTCAGCATTTATTCCAAGCTTTCATGTGTTGAGTGCATTTAGAATTTGCGTGAGCATTTTTCTGTTCTTAAAAAGCTTTTAACACTCCATTTCCACTGTTAAATAAGGTGATGTTTGATAGTAGGAGAGAGATTTTAATATACAGGGCCTGTCTAATAGCAAGATGCTTCCAGTAATGTGATTTATGTAGAATTTTAGTGTTTTCAACCAGAATTTTTCTTAAGGTTTCTTGTAAATTGTGGGTTGACAGATGTCTTTTGATCTGGTAAGTGACACGTAAGGTCTCTCTCTCTCTCTCTATATATATATATATATATATATATATATATATATATTCATTCTTTCCTATCAAATTTGATCTTCAAAAATTTTAGCTTACAGCCATATCCCATTGGTGATCATATGAGAACTGCTGTTTCAAAGTTAAGCAATGTCCAGCTTGGTCAGTATCTAGATGGGTGACCACTTGGGAATCCCAAATGTTGTAAGCTTGAATCTGTGGGTGGTGTAATGGATAACTGCTCAAAATTGGAAGTCAGGCATTCCAATTCCAGTCATGTTCATTATACTTACTTATGTTGTAACCTAAAAAAGTTTACTGAATGAGGAATATCCAAAATGGAGGTTGGAGATGAAAATGGTAATCTTTATAACATCAATGAAATTCAATATTCGCCAGCAGAGTGGAGTAGGTAAACCACTGCTAGTAGTGGATTACTTAGCATAATTACCCCACTTACAATAGTGTCCAACATATTTATGAGGATTCGGACATACCCATTAGTGTTCATAGGTACAATATATAACAACTTATGTGCAAATACTCTTAGGAAAAGCATGAATTCACCTCTTCTCCTCCCAGCTATGAGTTAATTAGTAAATTATTAGGACTTGCATCAGTAAATCTTAAAAACATTCTTACAATCTAAAAATATTTTTCAGTTTTGAATAACCTGAATAATAGTTGATAAGCCATTAAAAAAAAACCAATTATCATCATCTTCTGTCTCTTTGAATCCTAATCTTTTATTATTTTATCTCCTCAGTAATTTATTGGAATTTAATATTTTTATTGTTTCAATTGGATACTAGTTCAGATCAGACACTGATAAATGAACAAACTTGGAAAAAAATTGGCAGACCAACTTTATTGGCGATGAAAAGAATTGTTCATAGTATTACAAGAAATAAACTAAATTTTGAAGGAGAATTTTACACAATTGCGACATTTATTGGCAAAACTATAAAATTAAAAGGATTTGTTATGAAACGAACCCTGAACCTGTTTGGTATGGATTGGATTGTGTCATTCAACCTTTTCAAACAACCAATTAATTTGTTCTGCTATAGTGTCAGTGTTAATTCAAACAATGTGGAAAAATTAAAAAATGAATTAAAGATAAAATTTGACAGTTGCACAAAAGCTAAAGCAACATTCAAATTTAAAGAGAATGTGATGCCTATTTTTAGGTCAAAAAGAAAAGTACCATTTGCAGCTGAAGCTTCCATCAGTAAAGAATTAGACCACTTAGAGCAAATAGATTTGTTGGGCAAATCCTACTGTTTACGGGAAAAAGAAAAAAAAATCAGTCTGTGCAGATTTTCCTACAGGATTAAATGATTGTTTGGAAACATTTAATTATCCTCTGCCAAGTCCTGAAGACATATTAACAAAATTAAATGGTGGAAAGTCATTTTCAAAACTTGATTTGTCTGAGGTGTACCTCCAGATTCCTGTCAATGAAAAATGTGCAAAGTATTTAACTATAAATATGCTTAAGGGGTTGTATAGATTCAACAGATTGCCATTCAGGATAAAGGTTGAACTTGAAAATGAAGTGGCCAGGGTAGACATCATATATATATATATATATATATATATATATATTTCAGATATAACTAAAACTATATCTGTAAAAGGACAATATGAATAAAGACAAAAGGGAAAATTAGCCAATGCATTTTGTCCTCTGATGAAGTTTACCAAAGCAAATGATGTAGAGGTTTCCTTTTGTTTTTATTCATATATAGAGTATTCATATATATATAGTATGCACTAGTACGCAGGGGCTTACAAGCAGTGAAAGTGAGAGAAAAAACTAAGTATAGGGATTGAGGAAAGGATAGAAGGTGAATGGGATTCAAGAAAATAGAAGAAAGCAATTGGCATTGCATTTAAATTTTTAAAGATTGTAGTTATCAGGGAAGCATGTAGACAGAAGGGAGTTCTACAGGCATGAAGTGCGAGAAAAACTGTTGGAGTAGAAGTGTTGCTTGTATTTAGCTATTTCAACAATAAATGTGTGGGACCGAGATGCCAATTAAGTAGCATGTTTAAATTCATGTAGTTGGGGGATACCAGGAGGTAAAAACTCATCAGAGCAGTTGGCATGAAAATATTTGTAGAAAAGACAGAGGGCAGCCACACCACATTGGTGAGAAGTGACTGAAATCGAGATGCCAAGTCAGGATCAATTACATTGCAAATCCACACACACACACACATATATATATATATGTATGCAAGCAAGCTTCATTAAATATGACACACAAATTGCTTTCATTAACTTTTTTATATAATTTCTCATATGATCTTATGATACTTTCTTTTCCATAGATAAATTATACAAAAACTTTACAAATGTTTTATTTTTCCAAGCACTTTTGGCTATAGCTTCAGCCATTATCAAGGGTGAATTATGTTTACTGTTAACTGGGAATGGGTTGTTGTGTGTAAAAAATTCTATAATGCTAAATACATACACACAACAATCCAATGCTTAAATACCCAATATATAATATATATATTTTTTATGAAGACATTTTTTATGTTTATACGTTCTTTTTATAGATACAAGTTGATGTAATGAATATGCATACACCTGGGTTTCCCCTTACAGTAATATGATTGACTGGTGTCAGCCATAAATACAGACTCATGTGGAGGTACACAAGTGATACCTATAGGCTATGCCTATAGTCTTCACCTATTGCCTACCACTACGACAAGGACCAGTTACCTGCTAGATTGTCCTACTCTCTCTCTCTCTCTCTATATATATATATATATATATATATATATATATAAATATTTAATGAAAAACAGACCACTTTAAAGGTACCATTACAATAATTTATTTCACCAAAATCCTTTTTAAAGGACTCCGGATCATCAGGTAACAATTCATTTCGTTGTTGGAATTGTTACCTGATGATCCGGAGTCTTTTAAAAAGGATTTTGGTGAAATAAATTATTGTAATGGTACCTTTTAAAGTGGTCTGTTTTTCATTAAATATTAGCTCTGTATTCACATTGAGCTCTCAGGATTTCATCCTCCTTGGAATTACCCATTCGGTTTACCAAGTTCTTCGTAACTTATATATATATATAAATAAATAAATGTTTTAGTGCATTTGTAAATTTAAATTTTTTAAAACTTATGTTCTTCCACTTTACTTCTGTATATAAATACAGGCTAAAAAATAAAATTTTCCACATTTACCTTGATAAAGTCCCTCGATGGACATAACATTTTGGTAAAGAAAAGCTTTCCTTTTGTCTTTTATTTATATATTTTGTATCACACACAGACATATATATTATTTTTAATTTATTTTGTTTAAACGTTATTTTTTATGGATATTCATATTCGAGGAGAAGCTGTTCTTTAATTAAACAGTATCTTTTGCTCAACTACATCTACCAGCCTGAATATTCAAGAAATCTTATCAGAAAAATCTGCATCCTCTGGCAGGATTTGAACCTGCATCCCCTATCAAAAATATTCAGACTGTAGTTGTTAAGCCAACCAATAGGGTTTTTTTCTTTGCTTATTTTCTTTTTTCCCCCTGTGAGAGTGTAGTTATCTATGTTTTTTTTTTTTTTAATTATTTTATTTTATTTTCCCATGATGCTTTAAGATATACAATTTCCAGTCAGGGGTTATATAAAAGTGGTCCCCATTGTTTCAAGTCATCTAAAGATTGATTCAGTATGAAACTCTGGTTACAACTAGAGCCATCCTTTAATAGCAATTAACTTCAAGCATTTTACTGAGTAGGTAGGTGATTGCCTTTAGGTCTTTTTTTTCTTTTCTTTATTACTGTCCTTGTTCAAGATTTTTATCTTGTTTAAGTGCATTTAGGTCTTTTGGTAAGTTGTCTGTTGGTTCCATCAATGGTTTGGCCATTTCTTTAATTTTATATATATATATATATATATATAATTTAATAATTCTTTTCTGTTTCAGGCTCATTCAACAATGCACAAAGGTCATCCATGTCCTAATATAGGCTCAGATGAATACTTTCCAGATGGTGTTACAAATGGAGCTATGTGGTATAACGTGGCTGGTGAGGACATTTCAACCATTGTGTCCTCCAGTCTTCCTCAGGTGTCCCTATACTGAGTAGTACAAATATACTCAAGGCAATGCCAATAACAGACTCTATCTCTGATATTTATATATATATATATATATGTATGTATTACACCCAAGTATAGGATTGGTGTATATGGAATAAATTCCAATAATCAAAAAATACTATTGTTAAAAGAGTGCTCAATGCAGAGTAGAGCAAATATAATTTATTTGAAAATTATAACATAAATATGGGGTTGAATGTTCTACATTCAACACCATCACTTGATAAGATACCAGAAGTTCTGAAACAAAATGACTATTTTTGTAGTGATTTTATAACATATTTGTTATAATTTTCGAATAAATTTATCTATCTATATATGAGGAAATATAGTCTTAAGATGTCCTATATTTATAGGATAAAGAGCTCAATATCAGAGATAGAGCATGTGTAAATATAAAAGTGAACATAGAAGTCAACCCTTAGAGGCGACAGGCCACAATGATTGCATCTAGCATGAAACAGACTGTCACCTCTAAGTGTTGACTTCTATGTTCACTATATATATATATATATATATATATATATATATATAAAAGAGATTTAATAATTAGCAGATTAAAGTTGGCTGGACAGCATGGAGCCAGAGGGGAGTTCCGCAAGTGAGAAATGCGAGAAAAGAAACTGTTAGAATAGAAATTATGGTTACATCTATCCAGCTCAACTGTAAATTAATGAGATCTTAATGCCAGTCAAGTACTGCGCTTAAATCCGAAAAGTCTAGATACCATAGTGAAGAGCTCATCTGAACAATTATTGAAAGTATTTATAGAAAAGGCACAGAAAGGCAACCTTACAGTAGTGGGAAAGTAACTGAAGCCAAGCTGCCAGATCAGGACCAATAATATTACTGATTCTACTCTGGATTTTATCAAGGAGCTCAAGGTAAATAGTAGGCACACCGGACCATATGTGGTAGCAAATTCTAAGCGTGGAAGAATGGTAGACTTATAGATATGTAAGATAACTTTTTGTACTGCAAAATTAATGAAAAATTCAAGTTATTTATTTTATCTATTTACAAATGACAGTAAAATTAAAGTTGAATATATTTTTTTTCAAAAAGGTTAGAACAAAAGTTATTCATAAAAATAAATTTTATAATCATTAAGTTCATTGTTATGGAGAAAAATATTAACTTTAATATGTGAGAAAAATTTTTAATAATGATTTTTTTTCCCTGGGACAATGGCCGAGTTGATAAAAGCATTATTTTATGAATTTGGTGACATAGCATTCATGAATTCAATCTCTGGGTTGGGAAGTATGTACTTGCATGAAGTGGAAATGGGTGAGCAATAATTGAATAATACTAAATAAAAATAACTAGACAAAATCCCTAGACATAAGCAGTAGAATGAGAACAGTCTACTCCCATAGATTAAATAAAGGGTTCAATTCAGAATTCCCTGTAGGTTACCAAGATTGATATAAACCTGAGGAAGGCTGGACAGCACAATGGCTAAATATTCAACTTTTTATTTTTTATTTCCATTATAATTATTATCATAATTTTCATCTTTTTATTATTATTTCCATTATAATTATTATGAGAATTTTCATCATTTCCACTATAATTATAATCATCTTTTTATTATTTCCATTATGATTATTATTATTAGAATTTCATCTTTTTATTATTATTTTGATTATATTTATTATTATTAAAATTTTTATTTTTTATCATTGTTTCTATTGTAATTATTATAACTTTCATTTTTTTTTATTTTCATTATTATTATTACAATTTTAATCTTTTATTATTTCCATTATGATTATTATTATTAGAATTTTCATCCTTTTATTATTATTATAATTATTATTAGAATTTTCATTTTTTTTTATTATTTTTTCCATTATGATTTTCATCTTTTTATTATTATTTTGATTATAATTATTACGATAATTTTCATTTTATTATTATTATTTCCATTATTATTATCATAATTTTTTATCTTTTTATTATTTCAATTAAAACAATCATAATTTTCATCTTTTTATTATTATTTCCGTTATAATTATTATAATAATTTCCGTCTTATTTTTCATCCACACCTTCATGCTTCTCTTCTAGGAGGCATGCAAGATTGGAACTACTTACATACAAACTGTTTTGAGATCACCCTGGAGCTTGGATGTCATAAGTATCCACCAAGAAAAGACCTCGGTAAATACTGGCAGGCTAACAAATATCCACTGATAGTTTTCATGGGTCAGGTAAGCTCAGATAATTATTAGATTATTTGGGAAAATCACTGTCCAGTAAAATGCTCAATATTTGTGTCAATTAAAAATCAGTGGCCTGTCTGAATTTGTTCAAAAAATTTGCTAAATTCATTTAAAAATCAATGACCTATCTAAACACTCAGCATTTCAGCCAATTAAAAGATTGGTGGCCAAGTTAAACATTCAATATATAAGTCACTTAAAAATTAATGGCCAAGCTAAATGATCAGTCCATAAGTCATTTAAATGTTTATTGATTGATATTTAAAAAATAATGGCCAGCATAAAGTTATTAATATTTGAGTCATTTAGTCTCATCAGTCTGATGCTTTGTAGAGATTCTTGATAAAATCCAAAGAATCCACAATATTATTGGTCCTGACCTGGCATCTTGGCATCAGTCACTTTCCCATGATTATAAAGTATCTTCTCTGTACCTTTTCTATAAATACTTTCATGTTAACTGTTCACATGAATTTTCCTCTATGGGACGTAGACTTTATGAATTTAAGTGCAACAAGGTCTCGTCAAATTACAGTTGAGCTGATTAGATGTAACCATAAGTTTTATTCTAACAGTTACTTTTCTCGCACTTCTTGCTTGTGGATCTCTCTTCTAAATCCTTGCTTTCCAACCAAGTTTGATGTTCAAAAATCGAAATGCAATGTCAATTGTCTCAACTATCTTCCTGATTACTCTTCTGTAGTTCTCACCCCTTAATAATGTTTTCTGTTTTCTAATTCCAGTAAACTCTTATGTCTTAGTGATTTTACTGCCTTAGTTGGGATAAATTTGATTATAAAAAAAAAAATCTAAAATCAGTAGCCTATCTAAATAATTGGTCAGTGTTTCAACCATTTGAAAATTGGTAGCCAGTCACAGTGAGTCATTTCCAGATGGTCATTAAAAAGAAATCAGTTGCCAGTCATAATGGACAGTGTAGTATGAGTCATTAAAATATCAATATGCAGTCTAGATGGTCACTGATTTCATCATTTGTAGCAATATTAATATATCTCTCTTCTAAACTGTAAATCTCATTTGTAATATCACACATTCAATTAAGGTCAATCCTTCTTCCTGGGTTGAATATAATAAAGACAGACTTTCTGCTGTTTTCTTTTATTTAATTTCTGAAATTAATTATTATTATATCCCAGGCTGTTGGGATGAACAAAAATGAATGAAAATAAAAGACAAGTGTATTTTAACACATAATAAAATAACTTTTATTCATTTACTGCCTGAGAACAGCAAGGATTTGCTTGGACTGATACCATGAAATCCACGTGCATGCCAGCTTGTCAGTGTGTTTAATTCAGATGTGTCATGCTCCTCTTCCAGACAAGGGAAGTAACTCAATTGTATTTTGGGTTATTGTCCTTTATAGGGGAAGTAAATTAGTTTCCCCTAACAATTATACCGTCCTGGGTATGACGATAAACTACATCTATGTCCTGAAAAGACGATAAACTACGTCCAATAGCAAGGCTTCTGATCAGGTTTTGAGGATTGTGGAACCACCTCTTAAGTGCTGGCGTTCCCAGGTCCACTCTGACCCAAGGTAGTAGCACCTGTTAGGGTCCCAGCTATGGGCAAATAGTTGACACCCAAACTTGTGTAAAAATAGGTTTTAATACCAGAAATACTTTGTAATAAAAAAGATATTACCAGCAATAATTTTTGAAGGAATTTTTAATTTTTATCAGCAATACTTTAAAAAAAAATATGTACCAGCATTACAAACAGCTATACTTTTTTTGAAAAAAATATGACCAGCTATAGATTTCTTCAAGGAAAAATATTCCCAGAAATAGATTTTTGAAGAAAAACATATTACCAGCAATAAAAATTTTGTCGGCATTAAATAACCCATATTGAGGTTGATATGCCGTAAAACAAATCAAACCTAACAATTATATATATATTTTTTAAAATTTTTTATTTACACCAATTTCCTCCATTATGTTTTTTTTTTTATTCTAATGTTTGATACAATCATCAAAGTTAAGCATGGTCAGTACTGAGATGACCACTTGGGACTACCAGGTGCTGTAAGCTTAGATGTGCAGCTGGTATAATGGAATAACAGCTTATAATTAGAAAATCAGAATGCCGAGTTCTAGTTCCAGTCGGTTCATTATATTTACTTGCATGCAAATGCCCTTGGAAAAATTATTAATATACCTATTGTCCCTCCATCTATGGGTTAATTAGTAGGACGTGTATCAGTAAATCATTATTATCTTCAAAAAAATTCTTACAATCTAAAAAGATTTTCTTGCTTTAAATAACCTGAAAAAGGTTGATAAGTCATATGTAGCTTGTGCGTGTCTTTTCTATAAATACTTTCAATGTAACAGTTTGGATGAACTTTTCGCTATGATACCTAGATGATATGAATTTAAGTGCAGTACTAGAATTGCAGCAAGGTCTCCTCTATTCACAGTTGAATAGTCTAAATGTAAATGTAACTTCTGTTCTTTTCCCGTACTTCTTGCTTGTGGGGCTCTCTTCCAGGTCCATTCTTTCCAGGTATGAATCCACTTTATGTCCCTCCTATCTATGGGTTAATTAGTAGGACTTGTATCAGTAAATCATTATCTTCCAAAAATTCTTACAATCTAAAAAATAATTATTTTTGCTTTAAATAACCTGCAGAAGGTTGATAAGCCGTAGAAAACAATGAACCAATAAAACCAATGTTTGAGTCAGTGTATATTCATTTCTGACCCACAACATGATGGCCTTTATTGCAATTTGCCTCTCAGATTTTAATTTCTGAAAGACCATTTTGTTTGTGTTTTATGTTGATTCCTTCAAACTAATTTACTTATTTTTGTTATTTTTATAACTATGTTTGACCCATTGGCATAAAACAAAACATTGTCAATGTTTGGCACATTGACAATGTTTTATGTCAATGTTTGGCCTATTGTGAAAGTCGTTAAAAAGATTCCTGGGGAAAAACCACCCTTTTGACACTTCGTCTTAATGCAGGCATGTAAGTACATAAAAATTATTGGAATGGTTGGCAAAACATCGTCCAAACAATTTAAGCTAAGCTAAACTGGGATAAGCTTAGTAAATGTCATTTTTTAAAATCCTGTCTTGAGACAGAATTCTATATTTTCATTTTTGGTCCAAATTATTATTTTACTTCTTTTAAATTTTCAGATACATAAGGGTGTCCGTGGATTTGTCAGTGATCAGGTAACTAATAAGGGCCTTGCAGGTGTGACTTTGACAGTGGCAGGAATAAACCACACAGTGGTCACTGCCAAAGATGGTGATTATTGGAGACTTTTGGTGGCTGGAATTTACAATATGACAGCTTCAAAGCCTGGGTAAGGCACTTTCTCTGTTCAGTAAGCTTTAAACAGAACTCATATCTTTAAAGTAGCTTTTTAATTAGTTTTGACAGCATTGTCTTTGTAAGGAATACCAGAAACTGGATTATTTTATTAAGCTAAAAAATTGTTAAAATCTGACTCATTAACTTATTTTGAAACATTATTGCATTAATTTTTCCTCTCTCTCTCTCTTCTCTCTCTCTATATATATATATATATATATATATATATATATATATATATATATATATATATGAGTGAACACTGATTTCAACATCAAGTGGCACCATTCTGTTTGATGCTTCAATGCAGTCTACAGGCCTGAAGATTGTGTTGAAGCATCAAACAGAGTGTTTTCAGTGCTCATTTTCATATTTACATATGCTCTATCACTGGTATTGAACACCTTTCTTTGAAAATATAGCATGCAATAAAACTATATTTTTAACACACATATATATATATATATATATATATATATATATATATATATATATATATATATAAAAAGGCTTAAACACTAATAATCCATGGTAATAATTTATTCCATTGGAATCATAAATACGATCCAATTCATCAGAATGGAATAAATTATGACTATGAAATATTAGTGTTTAATTTATTATATCCTTACTCTGTTCTGGACATTGAGTTCTACCTGGATTCTATCCTCTTGGAAATATATATGTATGTGGATGCATGTATGTATATATATTTATATATTTTGCATATGTATGTGTATATTTACCACTAATATATATATATACACACACACACACACACACACTAGCAGCCATACCCAGCTGGTCAATCAGAAAAAGCGTTCAATTAGAATGGAGCAAAGACAGCATCATGTTTAGATGTAACAGAGTCTATCTTCTTCAATTATTTTAAAGTACTTTCATTAAAAAACATTTTGAATTAATACAGTTACTGATATAACAGAAGTAGTCTGTATTTATTCAATCAAACTTAGCTGAGAACATGAAAGGTTAAAACAATTAACATGAAGAACCACTTTAGACCACAATTATTTTGGATTTTTTGAAATTCAATTTGTCAGTGTGCTACCAGGCATGTAAAAGATGATACATTTATAAAGCAATTGTTAAGTTTGATGAAAGATCAACAAAAATAAGCAAGAAACCAGTATAAATCACCATTTTTCGCTATTTACACAGATTTTCACCATATGGATTGACTCAATTATCAAGTTAAACAATTGTTAAACAATCAATTTATTGTTGGCTACAATTGAGTGAAGTTTGTATTAGATTGCTTGGAAATTGAGAAAGTTTTTAGTTTAAAATTTGTATTGAAACCATTTGTCACAGTCTTTCACTAAACACAGCGACATAGAAATAAAAATGAGGTATTGTTGAGCTTGTCATGATGTAAGTAACCTACATACTGAGTTTGAATGAAATCAGAGGAAAAAATTGAATTTATCGATTTTTGATTGGCTTGACCGATTATTGACTCTTTAAAAAAATTATCCATTTTTTTATGCTAAGAACCTATCTCTTACATTGTAAAATGTATGTACCAAGTTTGGTCAAAATTGGTTGGATGGATGGATCTCAAGTGAAAAGGTATCACACAGACATCCTCTGTTTTATATATATATATATATATATATTTCTAAAAGATTAATGGATTTTATTTTTAATCAAATATATCTTTAATACTGCAAATGTTATGTTTAAGGGATGCACATATTTCAGTTGATGGTTCTGTTTTTTGGGAATTTTTTAAGTGGTGTTTTTCATCTACCAGCCTGAGTACGAGAGAAAACTTTTTAAAAAAATGTGCCATACGGGTAACCACTAAAAATAACATTTGAATATATATATATATATATATATATATATATATATATATATAAATAATAGTGTAATGCTAAATCATTTAGATCTTATTAAAATGTGACAAGCATATGTCTAAGTAAAAAATATCACAGTGATCAAGTATGTGATATAAACCATCTGTGCATTAATGGAACTGATCATTAAATGCTTAAAATAAAGTCAGTTCCCAGTATTTGTATCTGTGAGTGGTGATTACAACTGTCAATCCTACCATGTTTATTAACTCAATAAAGAAGCAACTTCCAAAAAAAAAAAAAGACATATTGTAAATAAAATATTTAAAGACTTGGCCAAATTAAATTAGAGTTGCAAAATACAAATGCAGTTGTTAAAGATATATAATGAGAAACATCTGTAAAAAAACTAGTGTTTATACTCCCTTGCTTGCAACTGTAGGTGCAAGCACGGTTGTCACATGGCTATGATCAATTGATGGAATGAAAGGGTTAAAAGAAAGTAGCAATATTAAATGAATTTCAATCAAGCTATGATGCATTACTATAGAGGATCTAAGGGAAAATAAAGGCTTTATATTGACTATTGTTAAAATGTCATATTTTAGCCTTATGTGCCACTAGGGAGAGCCAGGCTATGATCAATGATGGAATGAAAGGGTTAAAAGAAAGTAGCAATAGTAAAGGAATTGCAATCAAGCTATGATGCATTACTATAGAGGATCTAAGGGAAAATAAAGGCTTTATATTGACTATTGTTAAAATGTCATATTTTAGCCTTATATGCCACTAGGGAGAGCCAGGCTATGATCAATGATGGAATGAAAGGGTTAAAAGAAAGTAGCAATATTAAATGAATTGCAATCAAACTATGATGCATTACTATAGAGGATCTAAGGGAAAATAAAGGCTTTATATTGACTATTGTTAAAATGTCATATTTTAACCTTATGTGCCACTAGGGAGAGCCAGGCTATGATCAATGATGGAATGAAAAGGGTTAAAAGAAAGTAGCAATATTAAAGGAATTGCAATCAAGCTATGAGGTATTACTATAGAGCAGGGGTTCTCAACTAGTAGGGAATTTCCAGCTTTCAGGTGGGCAATTGAGGCCATTGACTCAAAATGTTAACTTTTGAACTCCCCAAGGTGGCACAATCCGCAATGTGCATTGGTCTGTGCAACTGAGAGATCACACTAGGTTTTTCTTTGTCCTACCTCTTATGTTTTTTGCCACTACAAAAATAATCCATGGAAATATAGAGGAACTAATAGGGAAAAAAATGAAAATTTTCAATAATATATGCATATTATTTGGAATGCACCGTTTGAGTAAGACAATCTTGAAGGCTTTAATTGACTATTGTTAAAATGTTGTTTTTCACTCTGACAATGGTACTTTTGTGGGCTGTAGATATTATAACATTGAAAAGAGTTCAAAATTTTAAAGAAAATAACCAAGTAATAAAAATCATCTTGGACATCTAAGAAATATTCTGCTTGAGATATCAACACTGTTAATTTTTTTTGTGATATATTTTTTTTTTTTTTTTTAGGTACATTTCCAAAACCCACCAAGTGCAGGTGACATCAGGAGCTGCCACTGTTCTAAACTTCACTCTTTCCATGCCTGCCAATATGAAGTGGTCCAAGAAATATGATTTCGCATCATCAAAAACATGTTTGCCGAATCCTACCTTACCTTATCTGAGATTAGAAATGAACTCCAAGATCTTGCAGCTGTTAACAATGACATCATGAAATACAATGAAATCCAAGATACGTCCTTAGAGCCTGTTCTCCTGGAGGTTCACCTGACTGCCCTTAAGAAGATTCCTGTTGACCTGCCGAAACCTCATGTCGCCCTGATTGCCAATCTGAATGGTGATGAGCCTGTTTCAGTGGAAATACTTATTAGACTCATCCGGCATTTGCTTGTAGGTAAGATCATTTAACAATACTCGATGACAAACATGGATGTTTTTTTTCTGTCTGAATTTCTGGGATGAGGAGTTAACATTATTTACACTATTTACATTCAGACTATTGTCCTCATCTTTGTTGTTGTTATCACAACATTTCAGCCATATGCCCTCTGGTTTTCATCTGGTGTGGAGGAATTAGGAACAGAAACATTAGTAATAAGGAAAAAGAAAAAAGAGCAATCCAGAAGACAGTAGATAGCAATTGACATTGCATTTAAATTTTCACTGATTAAAGTTGGTTAGAAATCATGGAACTGAGAGGTAGTTGCACAAGTGAGAAGTGCAAGAAATGAAACTGTCAGCATAGAACTTACGATTACATCTAGCCAGTTCAACTGTAAATTGATGAGATCTCACTGCCTGCCTAGTATTGAACTTAAATTCAAAAAGTCTAGGTACCATAGCAAAGAGCTTATCCAAACAATTACCATGAAAGTATTTATAAAAAAGACGATCTTACAGAAAAGAAAGCTGAAGATACAAAATTAACCTCTAACAATAGCAACTGGGTGCTGTTTTATTGACACTTGTTGGCTATAAACTATTTGACAAGGGATTGAACTTGCAATCAGACTATTTCAACTGATTGATGAAACTGCACGAAAGAGCAAATGTTTGGGGTAACACTCAGGATTTCATCTGGCAGCAAGGCTTCTGATCAGGAGATTGGAGGCTTTGAGAAGTGTAGAACCACCTTTTAATTGCTGTTGTTTACAGATCCACCTTGACCTGGGGTGGTAGCACCTATTAGGGTCCCAGCTATGGGCAAATAGTGACTCTCAACCACCAACAAAAATCAACAGTAAATTTTTATAATAAAATGAGCAACAATACATTTTTATAGTAAAATGACAATCACTGCAAAGCTAAGAAAATTATAAAAATACTTTTTTATAGTAAAATTACCAACAATACATTTAATGATCTGCAAACTATATATCTAAAAAAAACATACATTTGCCCTGAAAGTATAAAATAATATAAAAAAAAAATTTTAGTTGTTAAAAATTGTTTAAAATATTTAGATTCTGACATTAAATAACCCACAGCAGTGTTGATATGCCACTAAACAAAATCAACCAAGCAATCAGCATGAAAGAAATATTTCATAATATTAATCCATATAATATCCTAAAATTTCTTAAAGAAATGAAACTGTATTCCAAAATATAACTTCAACGAAACTACAATATAAAATATATATATCACTGTCTCTAGTAATTATTTCCACACAAACATGTATATGCATAAAAGCTGAGTATCATCTACTATGTATTCAACTGTCAAAACAGAATAACATATATCATATTGTTATTACTTCTAAGCACTCAAGAAAATTATATTTCTGTATTAAATGACCCATAAGGAGTTGATATGTCATTAAACTGACAAATATATCAATAAAATAAATGAATCACTGCGATAATAATAACAAAGATGAGGGCAATAGTTCACATGTAAATAATAAGGTTTTTTGTCTATAACTTTTGTAAGCTGTTAGTAAATATGACTCATTCATCTGTTAGGATTTCAGTATCTGTTCATGCTCTTTGTTGGTAATGAACTGATTGATAGAACTACACTATCAGCCAAAAGTTTGTTGGGGACACTCTGGATTTAATAATTAAACCAAAGAAGGCAAGAAACTTACTAATTAATTCCTACTAAGTAAGGATGCTGAGACTGTTTAACCCATTAATGTATGGTGCCCTAATTTTTAGAGTTGGGGTATCTAAAATTTAAAATCTGTCAGCCATAAGGTTACCATTAGCTAGCAAGGCTGATTAGACAAAAAGAGATTAAATTTTAACCCTTTGTGCCCTAATCAATAAAAAAAATGACATAATGTCCATCCACTGGTTGAACAGTGGGTAAACACTTGTAAGTATTTTTATATCTACTGTGAAACATTACATAGCAATTATTTACAAATTTTGACTCAGGAGCTCAGGTAGAAGGCTTAAAATTGTTCAGGAATGCATTGCTTAAAGGGTGAAGGAAATTTCATGTAGCAATGGGTTTATTATTATTATTATTATTTGAATATATGACAAAAACATTCAGGAAGCCATAACTCATAAATTAATTCTAAAAAAAATGTACACAACCTTCAATTTTTAAGTTCTTCGAAATCCAAAGAGTGGCTTCAAGCTTTTGGCATATGGCGTATATCAACAGAAAATGGTATTGTAATTTAGGATTTGTTTTAAATACTTTTTTGAAATGTATCTATAATAAGATCTATAACAATGAAAAAAAATATATATATACTTTGAATAACTAAAAATTTATTGACTTATATATTTAAAAAAAAATTTTTTTTTAAAGGCTACAGAGCTAGTCACTCGGATATTTCTCAGCTTTTGGAATCATCCCATATTCATATCTACCCTGTGTTGAATATTGAACAATACTCTCTGGCTACACCTGGAGATTGCTCTCCCCTCAACCATACTCGACCTCCACTTTACACTTTGCTGAACTCGGTAAGTTATATTGAACTTTCTGTTCTGGCTATTTTACTAGACCACTGTAAAATGAGAATAAAGTCGGATAAATAATTCTAATAATAATAAAAATCATCTATCAATCTGATCGTCTGCAGTCAAGATCATGTTATTGTGACCCTTTCATTGGATGCAGATGTTTAGGACTCATTAAGACTACTCGATGTTTTGAATTAATAGTTTCCCTCTTTCTAGACTGGTTATCAACCATGGATGGAAAGCCCAGTCTGTCTTACTATTTAGCCCATAGCTTGAGAAGAAAAGATGGACATTTTCTTGAAAGTAGACATAATAGACTTTACTGGAATTCAACCTCTGATTTGATATCTTGAGGAGAAAAGATGGCTTCATGCTTTCCCCATGGGCATTTGTGCAAAAGGGGACATAAATTCTCTAAACTGGAATTTGAAATGTGTTGTGACCAAGTAAATGGTTAAGTACGCCAGAAGAGTATTACATGACTAGAAAGGGTGTATCGAATGAAGTAGCACTCAAACTATTCACTGTTCACTTTTCCCTGAACCTTCTCCTCTACTAAACTTATAGGATGATGGATAATATCTTGGAATTGGAAATCGAAGAGCCAAGTTTCAATTCCCATTGGGTTCATTATATTCACTTACTAACAAATACCCTTGGGAAAGGTATGAATTCACCTCTTCTTGCCCCAGCAATGGGTTAATTAGTAAAACATATATCACTAAACCATTATTACCTAAAAAAAAAAAAATTTTTACAATCTAAAAATATTTTCTGGTTTTAAATAACCTTCAAAGGGTTGATAAGCCATAAAAAAATGAATGAATGAATGAAAGAAATACTGATTAGCTACACAGGCATGTCTTTTACATTTATTTACTTCCTCTGGAATATAAATGTATAGAAACTACTGAGGCCACAAAGTGAGGGATCAGTTTATATATTTATTGTAATATACAATTGTTCCCTCACTTTATATTCACATCATAATTTATTTTTTTTTTTTTACTCAACATGTTTTAAACGTTTTATGTTATTTATAAGCACTCTTGGTTTAATTCACTGTAATTTATTATTATTTTTATTTGTCAACATGTTTTATTATATTTATAAGCACTCGGTTTAATTCGCTGTAATTTATTTATTAATTTTAATTGCCGAATTTTTCTTATTATCTCTGTAAATAGTAATTACTAGCTGGTGAAATGAAACTTGATGAGAAGTGAGTAAAAACGGAAAACATAATTACCTTCTAAGTATCCGATGAAAGGGTGCCCACTCAAAAAATGAAAAAAAAAAAGAAAAAAATTGCCCGTAAACAGCTTAAATAGAATTCGCACCGTTGTGATTGGCTGTTGGTCAACCTCCAATCAACTGTGTGATAACGGGGTACATTTATAGAAGTCAGTGTCTACAAGCATTTTTTACAGGCTGTATCAGAGTCTGATCAGCTCTGATGTAGTCGACTTGATGAGGTCAGTATGATGTTTGAAAGACCCGAAACTGCCCAATGATCCAATTTCAGAACATCACTGACAACGCCCTCTAGTGCAAGAAGAGCGTATATTCAAAGCAGTTTGTTTATCAAATTCTGATTAGGTATGAATCCGCTTTTTCTCCCCCAGCTATGGGTTAATTACTATCAATAAACTATTATCTCTGCCCCCCAAAAAAGGATTGATAAGCTGTAGAAAATGAATCAATCAAATTAGCAATATAGCCTAACCTTGCTTCCCCAACCTTTGTACTTCTCTTTTCCCCTATACTAGTTGCCACACAAGGATAAATTACGGTGTATATTATGCGTGAGTAGAAGCATTTTCCCACATTTTCAGCATAATTTTAGGGGGGTGTATTATGGATGAAGGCGTATTATACATGAGGGAATTATGGTATATGAACACAAAAGGGATATTTTACAAAACAACACATTAAATGTATTAGTTTCTCACAATAATGAAACTGACTACAATTTTGATAGAAAAATGTTCCTTTAAAAGAGAAAACGATTCACAAATGTTTAGAAAGTGCTTTAATCCCTAAATCATTCGCAGTAAATTTGTGCTCAAGTTCTTACATTTCCCCTTTCTTGGCAGATCTTCTGTCACAATGTGGGGTATTTAAAATAAAAAATAATGGAAACAAAAAAGTAAAGGAATCTAAATGAAATTGGCTACATTATATTTCCATCTCTTGTTCATGCACATGTGTAGTTGCATCAATGTAAATATAAACTTAGTCTGATGAAGTCCTGAAGAGAAAAATGCTTCACATGAAAACTTTTTCCACTTTGTCATACATCTTCCTGCAAAAATTGATTTTTATATTGATTGTCATTCTTTTTTTTGTTATCACTAATATTGGAGTTTTATTTTTTTTTTTCTCTTTCTTAAACAGACTTCCTCGATTATACCAGTTTTGATGAAAGTTTTTTCAAAGCATCAATTTTCTCAAGTACTCAGCCTTGAAGCTGGTGGCAAGTTTATTGTGTAAGTAATTCCTTTTGAATGATTCTAGTATTTTTTTCCAGTCAAGACCTTCTTGTTGGTGCAATGTAATCTACCAACTTTGAAAAAGGGCTGTTCTGAGTCATGACCATTTGTTAGCTTTCTTGACACACAACCACCAAATTTTAAGGAAATTCTATGAGATGAACAACAAACCTAGTATTGAACCCTCCTGTAGTTGTAGATCTAAAGATAATTGTCCAGTAGATGGCAAATGCAAAACTACCAGGGTTATATAAAGCGACCATTTCCCCCAAAGAAAATATGGAAAATAAAAAAAGTTTACATTGGAATTTCCGCAAGGTGAGTGGAAACAAATATTTTATACCCACAAGTACTCATTTTCTAACCCTAAGCTTAAATACCAAACAAAAAAAAGTTTTGAGAATTAAAGGACAAAAATTTAAACCCACAAATAGTTTGGAAAATTATAGACTTTGTACAAACTCCCAACAGCTTTAGAGGTAGGTGTAATTTATGTTTAGAAGAAAAAATTAAAATAATAAAATATAATAATGAAAGCCATCTATTGAATCAGAGGAATGAATTAGTGTTCAAATGTCGACATAAAAACAAATTCAAATTTCCATAGTCAATTTTGCCTTTTTTTAGCTACCATAAGTCCCTCCCCCACTCCCACTAAAACCGTTTTATGCTATATTAATTATAATTTATAAACTTCCCTCTACTTAGGATATTCCCCTAATTCAAGTGGCAGTCCACATGTACATGGGTTACTCAAACTTCTTCAGCAATTCTCCTTTCAAAGTGTGTGGATGAACTCTGCCACCTCCCCACCTTCCAAAAAAGAGCTATTGCCTGATAGGGACAGCCTTGTGAGGCTCTACTACATTATATTATCACCCCCCACACCCCCGCACTTGTCAGGCCCATTCAAGGTTATATATATGATTTAAAATGTTTTATTTTTTCTTCAGGTTACCTTATGAGAAAAAAGTAAAAGATATTTATGGCCAGTTGTCTTCCTCCACCCCAGATGATGACATCTTTCAGATGCTCGGACAATCTTTCAATCTGGCTTTTGCTACTCACAAAAGCTGCTCAGCTACAGCCACCCAAGGAATCATCCATGGGGCAGACATAATCTTACATTCTGCTTCCATATTAGACTATGTTTATGAAAAGTTTGGAACTTATATGGTAAGTAAACAGTAAAAGAAACAGCAATTCACTTTAAGGTACAATTTATTCATGTTAACCTGTGTTTTCACAATAGAAATGCATCAGGAAGAATGGGATTGTCAAGGTTCAGGAATTAATAAAAGCCTTTCTGCCAAATTATGGATTAAATATGTACAATAAAATACATTGGAAAATGATTTTCAATATAGGAATGCATTGGAAAAAAGATTTTGACAATAGGAATGCATTCGAAAATGATTTTCATGATAGGAATTAATTGGAAAATGATTTTTATGATAAGAATGCATTGGAAAATGATTTTCATGATAGGAATGCATTGGCAAATGATTTTTGCTACAGAAATGCATTGGAAAATGATTTTTACTGTAGAACTTTTGCTATAGAATTATAGTGCTAAGAAAAACAATGTCTAGGCAAATCAATATTAAGAGAAAAGAAATATGCAAGTTTTTCTTTTTTTTTTAAAGCCCCACTTTAAATGTATCAATAAAAAGTACCATGACAGAAGTTAATTTTTTGAATGTCACACTCAATTTAAGAACAACATTGTTTAAACCTTTTACTAAGTGCCATCCGGTATGAAGCATAGAATCCAGCCTTCCACCAAGCTTACTGAAACATCTCTATAAATCTCTACAGGCTAGTCTATCTACAAATTCCTCCAATGTGGATATTTTTAATGATGCAACTACAGCATACAAGAAGGCATTAAGCAATAGCAAACATTAAAATTTTTCGCTTAAAATTGAGGTTTTCTCTAGTGGTGAAAATAACAAGAAAATTGAAAATAAAAATAACAAGAAAAAAATAAAAATCATATTTAACTGTCTTGACAATATTAATATTAAAAATGGTTTTGTGAAATTTCTAAAACTTAATTTTTAAACATTTTGCTAACTCACCAGAGTTGAAGCTATTCGCCAAAAACAATTTGAAGGTGAGTTACAGCTGTACCAACAATATGGAAAATATCATGATAAATCATAATATAAATATTGGAGGAGTTTAATAGCAAAGAAGCCTATAGATGCAACTACAGAATAAAGAGTATAGCCCATCAAACAGTGCATGTTTGGTAAGGGATATAGTATATGCAGCTAATGCAATTAGTATAGGTGAAACCAAATACTATACAGGAGCTGCCAAGTGTGAATGAACAAGACACTATGATAACCATAGGATGAGTCTGAACAACAGAAAATATAAAGGTAGCACTGCTCTTTCTACCTATTATTGGGATGTTATTAACAACAGAAAAGAACTGAAAGCTATCACATGGAAAATAGTGGCAAAAGCCAGGTTGTACAATGGAGTTGGCAAAGGTTGTAACTTGTGTCTAAGTGAGAAATTACTAATTCAAACAGCAAATAAATAGCCAGCTGTTGAATAAGAGAACTGTACGTAGGCATAAGAATAAATATTTAATTAAAATATACATCTGGTGGGTAGTGGGGATTTGCCACCCCCGGATTATATAAGTCAGATTAAACTAATAAATGGTTTCATATTTTATCCACCTAACAATTGTGTTAAGCATGAAACTCTGACTAGCAGATTTTGATTGCTATTTAATATTATTGTATTGATATAATATTTAAGCTCTGTTGACATTGAACCTTCAGTTTATTTTATATATTATTTGTGTGTGCATATATAGATATATATATAATTTGTTACTTGGCTGATTGATGTTATATTCTGTACCCCACTCCAGAGTTTCATAGATAAACTTTTTTGTAATCTTTTGGTTTACTCGTCAGGAGGTATTAGCAATTGTCTGCCAATTTTCTCATTTTCAGTATTTACATATTAAGTTAAAAAATATAATACACTTTTTATTGGTGTTAGGTTGATATTTTGTGAGTGCATGTGTATACACACACACACATATATATATATATATATATATATATATATATATGCACACTGATAATTTTACTATAGAATTTCATTGAAAACTCCATTTACCTTGTTTTCAAGGATCATGGATTGAGTAAAGCTTTCATGACAAAACTATTGTACTCATAATATAAACTCAATGCTTATGATTTTTTTCTATAGAAAAGCATTGAAAATTTAGAAGTAAAGAACTTTTAATATTCTTGTATTATTTCAAACTATTGTTCTCATTTTGGTTGATATATATTATTAGAGAAACAACATTTCAACCAAGTACCTTCTGGTCATCATCATCAGTCCATTGATTAGCTGATATGGGATATCTGTTGTTATTGTTGATATTTTTGTTCCTGTGATGTCAATTATTGTTTGTTTCTGCTGATGATGAACAGAGGGTACATGGTTGAAACATATCTATAATAATGCCAATATCAACCAAGAAGAGAACAGTAGTTTAAAATAATACAAAAATATTGACAATAACTCATAATGAAATACTAAAAGAAATATTCAGTGATAAAGAATTAAGGCAAGTCTTATTTTCAGAGTAAATATGAAAATAATAATACTACAATAAATATGAGTGGCCAGCCATAATAAATATATATATATATATATATATATATATATATATATACTTGACTCCTGTCAAATTCGACATATGAGGGTCAAGTAGATCAGTTCCTAGGAACTGACAGCCCGACACCAGCACATGAGATTTGATTATAGTGGTGAAGGTTTTATGCAGAACCATCCACACTTTTTGAAGGGCCGAATACAGAGCCACAAGGTCCCCAAATGACACTCTGCAGGTTTTTGAATTCAGAGTTGTCCTTCTCCTAGACCAGTTGCCATCCAAGGCTATAGAACCCGGTCTTTCCTGCTATTTACTGATAGCTGGAGGGAAAGGAAGAGGATTCATAACTTTCCCAAGGGTATTAGCATGTAAGTGAATGTAATGGATATGACTGGAATTTGAACTCGGCTCTCTGATTCCTCAATCCAAGCTGCTAACCATTACTCCATATATATATATATATATATATATATATATATATATATATATATATATATATATATATATATATATATATATATATATATATATATATATATATATATATATAATTATCATATAATGATTGTGCATGTCCCTTCCTTCCTTCATAAGCTTGACCATTACACCCTGACAATACCTCATAAATAGTGGATTATCCCATTTTCATTGTGTGAGAAGACATATCAAAGATGCTACTTGGTTTCAGTATGAAAATGAAAGAAAGAAGGGAAGATAGAACTGTTTACTGTCTGTTTCAGTGAATTGGAAAAGGTTGTCAATTTCAAATCTTTTCATTTGTACCCCCTTACTTCTTGAAATAATAACCAGCATTCATATTTATGATTGTTATTGCAATATTTTGTTCAAGTTGTTAAGTGAAAATATCTAATGATGCGAGAGGGGAATTTCTATGGATATTTTGTCATAGAGACAATAAAATAGAAATAGAAATTCCTCTATACTAGTCATGAACTTATTCAATCATCAACTCAAGATTTAAAATTCATCATAAATTTTGAATAGGAAAACCATGAAATTTTCACAGGTTAAAACTAGTATGTATAATTACTATATAGGGTGTGCTGAAAAGTTTTCAGCCCAACTGATTTATTAAAATCTGACCAAATAATGACCAAACACAAATGTTATTTTTAAGGGCTTCTTGGTTGGGCCAAGAACTTATCAGCACCTCCTCATTGGTTAATTAAAAAAAAAAAAAAAAGGGAAAACTTAAGTGAAGAAATTCTGTCTTTTTCCCAATCAGAAACTTTTTTCTTTTATAGATTTCAAGCCATGTAAGTTGCTGCAAATACCCACCTGTTTCACAGCTTGCGGATATTTGGCATGATACCCTTGAACCCCTTATGGAATTCCTGAAGAAGGCTAACCAAGGTTGGTTATGAGCTTCACTTCAAAGAGCTCTTTTAACTTATTTCTTTTGTGTGCATATTTTCATAATGGGTTATACTGGTCGAATTATGATTTATTGCTATATTTTCATGATGTCTTAAGCTTTTCCTTGAGATATATATATATATATATATATATATATATATATATATATCAAAACTACAATATTACCTACTAGAACTATCTGTAGTTTATTAAATAGCACCAGCAAACAACATATTACATCCGATGCATGCATCTACCAAATCTCATGTAAAAACTGTGACTTAAAATATGTGGTTGAAACATGTAGGTCCGTAAAATCTCGGTTTTCAAACATAAACGAGATATTCGCCTCGGAAATTTAAACAATGCTATAGTTGTACACACAACTAAAGCAGATTATAATTTCGATTTTGATTGCGTGAAGATTTTAAAATATTTTCATAATAAAAATCTTACACGGATTTATGAAGCAGGCATAATATCCATCTCACGCACAGTGAATACTAGACCTGGCTTCTTTAGTATTTCCCCTTTTCTAGCGACAAGCGTACATATAAATTTTAGATCAAAATAGAATTCTTTTCATTTTTCATTCAAAATACTCAAATTTTAGGAATACATTTTCACAGCGTCGGCCACATGACGACAACATGACCATGTTTAAACGGAACGCTGATCTTATAAAACTTTCAGTTATCTGTTTGGATAAGTCTTGTTCTTATGTCCATCGTCTTTGTCATGTTGAATTGATAATGTTAATTATATTTTATGAATATATCCTGAAGATGGTTTATTAGACCGAAATGTCCGACGTTGACATTATATTAACATTAAAACAGCATAATTGCATATGAGGATTTTTGTTTGTTTTTTCCGTATATTTTTCTTCGTGCAGTCGGATCTATATTTGCTTACATATATATATATATATATATATAAATTTTTATTGATCTCAAGAAATATTGATGTTTCCTTTCAAGGAACGGTGTGGACTTTTTAAAGTAAATAAAGGAGATTGCACAAGACCAGATTCATCCACTCGACATCCCATCTAGGATCAAGTAGAAATTTGGAGTTGTTTATATTATTTGTGTCTATAAGCATTTACTTGGCTCAGGTAATCATCAAACCATATAATAATTATCAATATGCTATTATTTATATATTTCCTGTCCCATCTGTAAGGGAGGTAAATCAACTTAAGTTAATAAATTTGAGTGATTACTTTCCTTAGTCATTTTAATAATCTATACAAATAAAATATTTATCTGCATTTAAACAAAATTAGTTCCCAAGCAAAATGAACCAGTTAATTAATAAGTTCCCTTACTTCTATTTTTCATAGATTGCAGTCATATTTTTCCAAGCTTTTCATGTGAGGTACTCAGATAGTATTGTCAATTAAATGACTTTGCTACTTCAACTTAATCTTGAAATAGGCTTTGTCATCCTATTGCTAATCTTTGCCTTCTAATAGATATTTTCATTTTGCTGTTATATTAAACACATAATTTAATACAAAAAGATACTGAGCCAAAAGTGATTTATATATTGCCAAGAGTAATCAATGAATCATAGATGCCATTGATCATCTAAAACTATAAAGAGAACAGATTAATTAAATGGTTCATTGGTTTCTATTTTAGTAGTGAATTCTTTACAGCACAGGTACACTAATAGAATTTATATTTGAGCCTAAGAGAATTTAGTTGGTTCGGGGAATAGATAACTATTGGTCATTTATATTTGAGTCTGTAAGCATTTTGGTAATCTCATTTGGGAGATGGTAAGACCTCTGCAAGAGATGCAATCATCATCTAAGCTCTTTTGACAAGGCATATAGAAAATGAATTGGCTTGCATATAGATATTGGACCATATTTTTGATTTCGAGTGAAAATTTGAATGTAAATTGTCTGATGTCTGAATACTTTTGGGGTGTACAAAAATAAATAATTTTATTAGGTGTTAGCAAAATTCTCCATGAAAAACTGGTTTTCAACTGTGAATTGATTTTCTTACTTTGTCTTGATTTTTCATGTGAAGAATATTGTCAATATATTTTGAGTGGGATCACATTTCTTCTCAAAAGTTACGGTCATCTAGTTGTTGTAAGTTCAATCCCTGATTCAAGCTTTGAAATAATATACTCTTGTTAAACAAGAGATGAAACCACAAGGAAGAAAAACAAAGAATATCTAACACATATATCATACCCATATTATACCAGTATCAGCTAAAATAATGAACACCTGAAAATGTCTAGAATGTATTTAGACAAAACATTGTCTAAATATTATAATAATGGAGATGAGAGCAATAGCTAAAAAATATAGGAAGTTGTGGACAGCCATGATCTCTCTCATCCTGAATGAACATAGAGTATGTATATACACATGCTCACTGATAATTTTACTATAGAATTTCATTGAAAACTCCATTTACCTTGTTTTCAAAGATCATGGATTGAGTGAAGCTTTCATGACAAAACTATTGTACTCATAATATAAACTCAATGCTTATGATTTTTTTCTATAGAAAAGCATTGAAAATTTAGAAGTAAAGAACTTTTAATATTCTTGTATTATTTCAAACTATTGTTCTCATTTTGGTTGATATATATTATTAGAGAAACAACATTTCAACCAAGTACCCTCTGGTCATCATCATCGGTCCATTGATTAGCTGATATGGGATATTGTTGATATTTTTGTTCCTGTGATGTCAATTATTGTTTGTTTCTGCTGATGATGGACAGAGGGTACATGGTTGAAACATGTCTATAATAATGCCAACTTGAAGGAAATGAGAAAACTGTGATGCCAGTCTTCCGAATGGGGAAGGTCTGCTTGCTTTGAAAATTAGCATTTGAAATTCTGGCCTTCATCTAGGCTTGAACACTAACCTCTGGCACCAGTAGGAAACACGTAACTTTTTTTTAGCCATGAGGTGAACCTAACTATGTATTTATTTAATTACTTGCTATGAATTTTGGATGCATGTGCCATATTTATATTTGGAATTCTAAACTTGTTCACATTCCAGTTTTATGAATATCAGAATAATGGAAATGCTCAAAATGCCTTTTCTGGTAACCATGGTAATCACCAAGGAAACATGGCCAGCTCCCCCACTCCTGAATGCAAACAAATATTTCCAGTCATAAAAACCCAATACAAAGTTCATACTTGAAATTTGATACCCACCATTGGACACTTAAATTTCTTCTTGGTATAGTTACTGCGTTCATTGGTGGTTCTTTGGCATTGGGGTGGGATAGGCATATGCCTTTTACCCTAGATTTTTTTTTGTTTGATCTCTAGGTTGCTCCCCCCACCATTATACAATAATTACAGAATTAAATTGGATTGTGTCCATGGAGATTATTTGTACACTGTGTTACTACTGCTGCTACTCTTGGGAAACTGCATGCAGCAGCAAGGCCTCTGATCAGGAGACTGGAGGTTTTGAGGAGCATGGAACCACCTCTTAATTGTTGTTGTCCCCAGGTCCATATATATATATATATATATATATATATATATATATATATATATATATATATAATTAATGGATTTATTTTTAATCAAACATTTTTATTACTTCATTACAGTAGATACTCATATTTGAGAGAGACACCCCATTTTTATTTTTAAACAGTGTATGTGCTTATTCGCAGACGATATTATTTCGATATATATATATATATATATATATATATATATGTATGAAAAAAATATAGTTTTATGGTATAGCTATATTTGTGAGTTAAAGTGCTCAATATCAATGATGGAGCAAATGCAAATATAAATGTGGACATTGAGGCCAACACCCAGCAGCGACAGTCTTTTTCATGCTTAAATAGAATCTGAGGTCAACACATGGCCTAAAATGTTCATTATATATATATATATATATATTGTCATACAATTTCCCTATATATATATATATATATATATATATATATATATATAAATAGAATACAAAGGTCAACACATGGCCTAAAATGTATATATATTGAACGTTTTAGGCCATGTGTTGACCTCGTATTCTATTTATATTAGAATATGCGGTCAACACATGACCTAAAATGTTCATTATATATATATATATATATATATATATATATATATATATAATGAACATTTTAGGCCATGTGTTGACCTCGTATTATATATATATATATATATATATATATGGGGAAATTGTATGACAAAGTGGTAAAAGTTAAAAACGTGTTTCGTCCTTCAGGACTATGATATAAATGTTTAGAGAGTGCCTTAATTGCAAGGTCATCTACAGTAAATTATTTGTGCCTTGGCTCTTAAAACAATTCACCATCCATGACAGATCTTCTAATATCACAGTGTTGAATACCTACTTACAAAAGTAATGCATAGAAAAAGAAAGACTCTAAATGAATTTGACTAGATAAAAAAAAAACACTTCTAACATTCCCAGCATCCCTCTGTTGTGTGCATGTGTAGTCATATCAACATAATAAATTTAGTCCAATGAAGTCCTGAAGGATGAAATGCCTCACAAGTAAACTTTTTCCACTTTATCATACAATTTCCCCAATACTGTTTTTGATATAGTGTACCAGAAACTAGAAAGCAATGCTTTTGTTTCTTACCCACTTGTTTATTATTGTTAGACTTACCTATCACACCTGTTGATTGGGATGTGTTCAGGATATGGCGCACAAGGAAAGCTCCTGATTTCTCCAAAGTCAGTTCGCTCCTAGTTGCCTGATGAAACATATGGACTAGTAGCTGTTAAAGATATTTGATGAGAGATGTAAGGTAGTGATTTTGAAGAGATAATATTAGTTGTCAATATTATCTCGAACAGAAGAGAGGAGTGAAATTTCAAACAATAATTTATATCTAAAACAACATTTTATTGACGTAGCAAAACAAAACAGGTAGCATAAGAAAAGAAATAAATGGAACTGTGTATACTGAGATTTTTTTATGCGTGGTTAAGAAAATCTCT